TTACGGGAATAAGGTACATAAGGCGGCCTTGTCTACATGCATAATGTTCCTCCCAAATACACTTGGCAGCTTCCGAAACGCACCTCAGTATCGATTCAGTGGCATCATTATCAATCAATGAATTCAAAATTGGCCACAAATTCCAGCCGACTTTTTCCTTTTTTTTTAGCAGCGACCTTCAGTTTTTACAAGTCACCATTACAGGGGATTAATGAAGCAACAATGTTAGCCATTTCTGCGATACAGTGTATGTGCAACTAATGGTGAAAAAGACGCAAAAATACGTGTACATATAAACGAATCTAAGCATGCAGCCATCACGCATCACCCATCACTTCGCATGCGAACGATTTCAATCAAATAGGCATTGCACATCACGCGTCAGGCGTCCCACATGAATGTGAACTATTTTAAGCTAGCGCGCATCACACATTAAGTCACTAATCACATTTGCATGATCGGCGATAATAAGTCCTGTACGTTATGATCTGGTCGCCAACTTCATTTAACGATGTATTCACTTATTTTCCTGTCTGGATGGTTTTGGGCTTTGTAGATGACTTTGATCTTCAAAAAGGGTTTAGTGTCCGTAAGTCCCTGGACCTCAGCCTGATTGTGTTTTATCACAAAATGGTTGCCGAAAGGTTTCTTTTTCGGTTTTTTAGCGTCTCATATGTATTCATTATATCTCAAACGAAAAGGCCGCATAGGCTACCCGACATAGGCTATGTCCCTTCCATGTTTTTTCACACAGTTTACACTTCACTTCATGAACCACGTTTTTTGTGTGCAAATCCCCTGAAACCTAAACTTGCATAAATGCCACCTATTTCTTTCCGGGCACTCTGGCGTCGAGATGGAAACTTTCACCGCGTACTTTTTTTTTAGCTTGATTTCGTTCTTCTAGGCTATGCGTGCGCGCAGTTTTGATTTCCTAACGACATGCTTGACTTTGCAAAGCAAGTGCTCATTTATGTAAGGTAGCGTGAAAAATCCATCGTCCGACAGGACGACAAAAAACTTCAAGAAAGCCTTAAAAACTTCGTTCGCTGTTGGTTGTACTGTTTTTCGCCCACTCAATTTACCTCTCACATATCACTCCGGCAATCAACATGAAAAAGCCACATGTGCGTGTGTGGAACGTTGTGCCAATACATGTCAAATGTCAGCGGAGATCGGTGAAAGCGACAAAGCGAGTCACACCAGCACAGCACTCGTCCATTCCGAGATGTCAGCAAGCTCAGTGAAGTGACAGGTGCGTTTCCGAGCCTTCCTCACAGACTGGCCTTTTCCTCTCCGCTCCGTCCGCATTCTCATCTACCGACACGCAGAGGTACGGGCAAGGCGCCATGGAGACGGCCTAGTTGTTCGCACCACGCACCGTAAAACACGAAATGCCCTCGTTTATGCGCAAACTGCTGGTCCGTGGAGCGGGCGTGATGGAGTCTTTGTCACTGGCCAGTACCAATTGACACGTATGGCGAGGCAATGCAGGAAGCCACATCTCTATCATATATATATATATATATATATATATATATATATATCATGTAACATATCATATAATATCATATCTCTATCATACATAATATCTATCATATCTCATATCATATTGGGTATCCGGCCAAACACGGCAGGAAGAAGGTGTCCAGGCAGGATGCAACGGCGGACCAGTTTAAAATCATCGACTCGTGACTCACGATCCGTCCATCGTGATATTTATCGACCTCGAAATCAACTCAAACAGGCACGAAAGCTGCAAACTCGCAATCTTCGTCCGAGGCTTAATATGAAAACGCCGCCGGAGTTTGCTTTGATCAACAGTGTGTGCGTTGCATACGTTATGTACAAACAGCAATAGTTTCCTAGTCATGGTAAGCCGTGATGCTCACTAGCAAGTTTCTCTCCGTCTATGCTCGATGCGTGTCATCGAAACTTCTAGGCTAAACCACCAGTATATCGGACAGTCCTTTCACAACACCGCGCAATAGGTGTCATGCCGTGGGAGACTGAATGACTGGAATTCTCGTGATGTTCGTGCGGTGTGATGAATGTATGATATCAGTGATAAACAATTACGTAGCGTTATGATCGGTACCTTACAGAAGCCGCGTTCTTTCAAACCAGCAGCCTTATGCATGTAAGATCTGCCACATATTGCGGCCAATTTTTTATTTGTCCCAATCTAAGGTAAAAAATGTCTCGTGAAAGGCCTGCCAACATTTTTCAGGCTGGCCTAACATGTGGGGAAGTTCGAAGGACAAAACGTGTAAGATACCTTCAGGATGCAATGCGGTACCAAATCAGTTCTGATAAAAAGCAGTATAGGAAAACCGTTGGTGCTGGGCGATCCCATTAAAGCCGGTGCTGGACCGGGTCTGACCAGAGCCAGAGCAGCTTCCGGCCCCACCAGGGCCAGCCTAGCGGTCGATTTCCCCCGAGCTAGCGAAGGCCCAAGGGGGCCTTAGAGACGTTTGAAAATGGGACCTGTATGCGAAATCTATGTTCATGTCGCAACATTTTTGAGTTGTTATTATTTCAAAGAACGTAGAAGGTAATGTGGGCAAAGCTCCACGTCGCGGGGACCCAGCTTAAGATCGGGGCACCTCACCCAGGTGGGGCACATCAAGATCAATATGGGACACTTCAAGATATGGGACGTGGCTCCGCAGCTAAACACAAAGTCGCTTCCCGCGGATCAAGAGCAGCGTGGGAAAGGCGTTGAAAACCCGAGACGAGGAACGCGTACTCTAACGTGTGCAGTGCGATGGACTCCCCATTCAGGGGATTCGTACGTAGTGCATTCGGTTCAGTGTTTCCACGGCATTGCGAGAGCCGTGTCGAGAACTGCACTTCAAGCAGACAACCTGACAAAAGGAGCGCGGGAACCGGGGAGGTAGGGAGCGGAGAAGCTGAACTTCCAAATTTATAAAGTTATCATCAGCTCTATGGATGGCAGGTGGAAAGCGATATTGAAAAGCAATCATCTGCCACGAACTTGGAAAACTGCTAGCGCCCATTGCCGTGTCAAGTGCGTTTAGCGTTTTGTATATAATTTTGTACTTTCGGTATCGTCGCCCGTGGTCCTCAATCGTCTTGCTCTACAAGGTGACGCAAATAAGACGGTAGGCAGATGGATGAATACTAGCGTAACTTAGGCTCTCCCAGGACTCCCTCGTCGGCCTTGATTCAGCAATGCGCTCGATGCCTTCGTGTAATCAAATGGCTAGGCAGCAGAGGCAGATGAAGTGTGAGAAACGCGTTAAGAAGTTCGTTGATATATGCATGGCGTCGTTGGGAGTACACAAATAAAGCACAATAGCCCAAGAAAATTAGTTTCTAGTTTCCGCCGCTAGTTTCCGCCGTTCAGAGCACTGTTGATATGAAGTTAAGCAAAGTCACGATGACGTAAGTCGTTCAGTGCATTAGCGAGAAACATTGCTCACATAGATAAGACAATAGCATTAAACTCATTCCTCGGAGAAAAACCAGGAGTATGGATATAATGTTGGGTTGACATTTCAGCAGTATGTCTTTATCTAAACAGAAGCAGAAGTGAATTCGTGAAAAAGTGGGAAAGTGTTCTTGAGAGACCTCGATATCGAACTGTGACCACGAAATGCAAAATGCACGAAATGCCTCGTGAAATGGCAAGGAAATAATTATAGTTCCGTTGAGCGAAACACAGAAGTGATGACACCAACTGGGAAATAATAACAATGCAAGTTCATATTCATCAACAAATCAACGTAAACTGAAAAGCATGTTTCATTTGCAAAGGCATATGTTGCATTGAGAACGAACTCAGGCTATGTCACGTGCATATAGACCAACCATAGAAGAGCGCTTGCAAATGAAATCAGTGCCGCATGTCACCGATTCTCACTCCAGGACTTCTAACAATTGCTCAGAATATAGAAAAACAAACTTCCTCGGGGACGTCTCGGTACACATATGTCTGAATTGATAAAACTTGTCTCAGACTTCAGAAACATCACACCGATGCCCCGGAGCAATCAGTAGATGAACTCAAATTTAGGCTGTTTCTGGGTGATAACCTCCATCGCACAAGATGTCGCCGCTTTTTAAAATGAAACTAGGACTTGCAACATATTTGTCGAATTGTCTCCTTCAATTGGCTGGGAGCAAAACCTGGTCTCCATTGGGACTTTTTGGGTGCAAGCCTCACAAGGTTTTACAAATTTCAGAAGTACCCAAAATTCAGGCCTGGTGGATTGGAACTCACTGCATCCTGCAGAGGATGGGGCTGAGAGTGGGTGAAGTTTTCGGTTCGGTTTCTGGTACAATAACATTTTTACTCTGTTCCTAGCTACCCCAAGGTTCAGACCTTGATTAAGACAGTAGAGTGCGTTCTTCCCTTCATTAGCATTCAAATTAGTACCCAAAGGGCTGGAGACGGACTGAAGTTCTAAGCCCGATTGTGGGTATGATGGAATTTGTACCCTGTTTTCAGCTGTCTTATACTTTAAACCCGCATAGAGGTCATGCCATGACTTTGCGGCAAAACACCGAAATCGTGGAACAGAGCTCTTTGCCTCCTCTGTACGGTAGTGTCGCTCCACCGACTTGCAGTTTTTGCTGTTACCAAAATTAAACAACTTGGAGGTCAAACTTTAGTGTTCAGGTAACACGCTTAAACCGTGAAACGAACCCCGTTGCGTGTTTATAACGATATAGTTATAATGGTTATAGAGTACGCGACGACTTCATTTTTCATTTGATACTTTTTGGGTGGGGAATTTGAAATAACCTGGAAGCCAAATCACCATCTTCAGATTCAGAAATGACGTTTTTTGTGATTCTTTCGTTGATTTGTAAAGCGTGTGGCTCAAAGCCCTGTCACTGGAGCCATCGTCGTTAACTAAATAAATACTAATTCCCAGAGATATCTGGCTCCACTTTTGCTGCTCAGATCTTGGCGCCATCTGCACGACGGTAATCAACATACTTCACGTCTGGCCTAAGACAGATCAGCAGGTGCTGCGGGATCGTGAGTATTCAAATCGTAGTCCATTCAATTGGCTCGCATACAGCCGAACACTGCAAATCTCAGGCAATCTGAGGCAGGGCAGTACGACGGGATGATCACATACCGCACCTTTGCCGAAGTGCTTGTCGAGCACGTTCAGAAGTCGCTCCATAACAGTCCACAACGCCCACCACCATCAAACATCGATCTCAAAGGTCTATATAAGTAGTAAAACACCACTCTCTCACCCGAATTGAGGTAAGGAGGCAAAACAGCACGGCGGCACGGCCTCCAGCGACGCGACGCACTTCCAAGCAGTAATGCTGATCCTATTGCACGTGAGTGTCCCTGATCCTCCATATCAACAAACCATGCCAATGCGCGGGTTACGAAGCATTACACCCCTCCCGTCTAAGACTGAGCCAACCGAGCATTTAAATCGCTGGTAACCCCTCTGACGCAGCCGCTTATCACCAATGTCGACCTAACATAGGTCATGAACGCACAGCACTCCAGCACCCCAGTGCGCTGTGTGCAATGGAAAAAAGTGCACTGCGCCCCAATGCACTGAGAGCGCAGGTGCGCTCGCCGGCGGTGCGCAGACACCGCTCCGAGTCCTGCGGCGCTACCACTTGAGCTTGCCGGGGCAGTACTTGTCGATGAGGCCCTGGTAGTACGGCATCAAGGCCGGTATGTCGGGCATCGTGTCAGACTTGGTGTAGAGGTCGTACTTGTTGAACCGACGGATCCAGGGCAGCATGCGGAGGTCGTGCTCGTTGCACAGGTGCATGTAGTCGCCGCCCGTGTGCCAGGGGTAGAAGCTGTGGAACCTGTGGAACGGAGCGGATGAGAACGCCGGTGGCCGTCTCGGCGACTGCGTTCGATTTGGCTGTGCTCTATGTGGTGACGACGACGTCACATCAGGGACGGCGAATCACAGGGAGGAGTTCAGCAGCCCCTCCCACTCTCGAGCGAAAGTTATTGCGTTAAGGCTACCGTACCCACAGAAGGAAATGAGCTCAACACTGCGCTTGCCAACCTCCTCCCAGCCCCCACGAAGAGCCGCCGCGCGTGCGTTGCTGTGCGCATCTGTTCATTCATGATACATATTGCTGGTGTTGTGCTGCGTTGCTGAGGTGGCGGATCGCGCAGTGGTATTTGCTTCTTACCGGTGTGATTTGGCACGCGACACGCAAAATTTAATGCAGTACATTGTTTTACGCTTATGCAACAACGAGCTTAGTCGAACGAGGTTGGCAGGCCGGTTGTGTTGTAGTCTTTTGGGATAATGCTACAAAATCCAAAGTGTTCAATTCACCATCGAGATTCACCATTTCAATTTTCGACGGAAACGATCATTCATAACCCATTTATGACCCTTGCACTGCGATGATGTACCGCTCATATATATATATATATATATATATATATATATATATATATATATATATATATATATATATATATATATATATATATTGAGGAAACGCAACCAATTAAAACATCTGACGTGCCATACATAGCGGCTGAACTGTCAACCGATCGATAAAGCCTCGCTCTGTACTCACCTTATCATCGCCAGACCCTGCTCGGGGATGGTGCACCTGTTGTGCTTCAACACTCGGTACAAGTACTCGTCGTGTCCCCACGAAATGAGCACGTTGTCCAGCCCGCAGCCTGGCTGGTACATGCCGTTTTCAGTGCTGCAAACCGAATGCAACGTAACAAAACATGCGGCGTCATGCATCAACGTCGTTTGGGCTGTGATTCGATTTCGCACGTGTCATATCATAAGATGCTGTTTTGGCACGGGAACTAATCATTTTTGCCCTTTGCGAGTGATGACGCATGAAAGTGGAACTATTCTGCTCTGTGCGTGGCAAGCTAACACTCGCTGTTACACTCATTCATTTCGTTGTCACTCAGAACAACACAAAGCATATACCTAGGCATCCAATAATCAAGCTCTCGAACGATTCACACAAAAGTGTGAAGAGTGCACAAAAGTGCATCCACAGCTCACGACCTCTCTTCCGCTCCCGCCGTGCCGGCCGCACGCTGTCGGCTCACTTGTATCGGGAGTCGGCCAGGTCGCTGTTGTTGTGGAAGGTGGTGTCGCGGTAGACGACGGAGTCGCCCACCCGGCAGCCGACCACGAACGTGTCCCCCACCGTCGAGAACTGCGGCTCGCCGTAAAACGCCATGACCTGGGTGCGGGGGCGCGCGAGTCACGGGTTGATGTAGTAGACAAGTGCGGCGAGTGATGTGCGGTGTCCCGGGACCGGGGACAAGACGCAGAGATCGCCAAGGGGCGAGGAAAAACACGCCAAGGATGGTAGCGTTCATTAATGGAGTGCGTCTGAATGAGACGGTTAGGAAGCACAAGGGACGACACGTCACAGGGGAGGGTTTTGTGACGGGATGTGCGTCAAAGCGGAAAAAGGTTGCAATCATGAGCACGTTACCAAAAACGAAACATTCGCGAAGTAGGTAAAAGTTGGCTGCGTGGGTCGACTTTGGAGTAAAAAGAGCTGTGGCGCTAAGGAAGCAAATGTGCACCAAACTAGAGCATGTTCACTGGCGCGATGTTAGCAAAGGGCAAAATGTCACCATGAAAGATATCCGATGTCTTATTTTCTTCCCGATCTAAGCACGTCACAGACTTGCACTTCAACAATTGCACTTCTCTCACAAAAACAATAAAAAACAGCTATAGATCACCGACGATATGTCCCAGTAAGCGGCTGCAGCGTGGCACAAATAATCGCCCAGGTCACAGCCTATAGTAAGTTTCAGTAGCTACAGCACTTCTATGCCATTCACATCATCCAACCATTAACACATTGGACGTGGCCTGTTCTGTCAGTCAGTGTTGATATTATAGCACATGGAATCGCTGGGTGAACGTAAACAGTCATCCAAATGCCATGGCATAATCTGCTCAACGCACAACCTGCATGGCATAATTGGTGCTCGCTACAGCTACATTATTGCTTTCTTTATCATTGCTGCGCATTACATTTCTTACCTTTTATTGCCGGGAACACTTTGGGATAGGACAGAAATGCCCGGTACAAGTGCGGCGATAAGTTTCGTCCTACAACGTGAATCAAGGAACCCACGGTCATTCCCAAGTACTATCGATTGCTAATGTGTAAAGGCTGCAGAGCCTCCGATGAATCAGAAAAATGCCGTTCACTACTCTCCCATGCAGCCGACGTATATGGCAGGCAGCCATAGTGTATCGCGGTGGTCGTACACCGGGCCAGTGACACAATGATATCGTTCGGCAGTCACCCCGTGACCTCCCCGTCAGGAAGAACGCTCCGCCAGCGAGCCACGGCTGCCAGCTGCGGCCGGGACTCGCTGCTTGACCCCCCCCCCCCCCCATCCCCATCTGTTCCCGGCAAAGACGCGGCGCGACCCCCTACCTTGCCCAAGTCGTGGATGAGCCCGGTGAGGTGGAACCAGTCGTCGTCAGGGAAATCCTGTCGAATGCGCTCGGCCGTCTGGAAGGCGTGCACGATGTTCGGCACGTCCGTGTCCGGGTCCGCCTCGTCCACCAGGTCGTTCAGCTTCTCCAGTGCCTCCAGGATGGTGGCCTCGAACTTGTCGAACCGCAGCCAGTGCGCCATCTGAGCAATAAGGTGCTCACGGCTTAGTGAGGTCGGTGGTTGCTGAGTTCGCGTAAAAGGTGCATGAAATTCGTGGCAGAAGCGGACATTTCGTGCGTCGTCGTTTGTTGTGCGAGGTGGATTTGGTAGTTGGCGAGTCCTCTATTTGTGACAATAGTGTTCTAGCGTGAATAGGACTAATTTAGAACTAGTCAAAGGCGTAGGAGGTTGAAAACTGCATCGTGTCGGCCTGTGACTCATTGACGGCAGCTGGATGGCACCTTCGGCAGAGGCTCTTATACCATTAGCGGTTATATACGCACAGAGAATATCAGTAAACGCGAGTACCCGATCAGAGCGTCCTTGAAAGGTGGAGGCAACTGCCGGCCTGTTTACATCACCTGTCTGCCTGTTTCCCGGCAAATGGCTCCTGACAACCATCACATCTCGGAGGGAAGCAGTGGCGTAGCCAGAGGGTCTTTTAGGTGGCATGACTTTCTTCGACATGGAGAACGACCCCCGCGAAGGAATGCCCCGTTACCTTTTGACACTTAAAGATGCTGTAGGCCTTCTAAAACTAGGCGAGAAATGAAGATCGCCAGCCTACGAACGTTTTCTGAATCCCAAAACAGCAGGTACCCGACGCAAGAAAGAGAACATCCTTGGTTGGAACCCCTACGAATCCTAGCTACGCCACCGAAGGGAGGATAAAAGCGGGCAACCCTTTCTCACCTTCCTTGTGACGTAATCGACTGTCTGATGAGTGTGCATCTTCATGTAGGTCTCGCGCACCCGCATCTGGATGGGGTCCGTCTTGTCGACGCTGAACTCGCGGAACAGACCCTTGGCCTTGCTGGACGGGATGTCTGGCCGGTACACCTCCGACGGGTCGATCATGCACACCGGGCCCTGCAAGACGGGCAGACATCTGTGCAGGCAAGTACGCCGAGCAGTACGGGGCGAATCCAGGCCCATTGTTGCAGGGAATTAGCCAACAGTGAGCCTGAGGTCCACTCGCGGCTAGTTGGAATCGCTGGAGCTGATATGGAAAGCTGCTGAAACAGCGGGAGAACTGTATGTGAAATCCGACCATGCGCTCGGAAGGCATCTCTCTCTATGTGGATCCCGGCGAAGTTCAGTGTAGTTACCTTAAACCGCTGTGTAAAGATGCCCAACTCCGCTCATTGCGCTTGGGCGCGTTAGATCGATGCCGTTTAAGCAGCATACCACGGCACGGCCACGGACGGAGTCCTATCTCGCATGTTCCAGGAGTCCATTTCTAAATTTGATGGTAATGCATCTGGACAAAACACAGAAGTGCCTGGTTCAATCTTCCCAAAAGGCAGTTGTGCGGACCCCACCGACCCCAGCGGTAATTAAAACCATGGGTACAGCCTTTGGTGCACGTCTGTTACTGCGCCCGCGTCCCTTTTCGCCGAGCCCGTCGGGGACAAGGTCCTTCTTCACTTCGGTACCCAGGACAATCCACTGCTTGGTTCGGTGTAGACTGTGCCGCACTACTCGCAGGCGCGGCAGGTGGCTGCTGGGCTCGCCGATTCCGATCCTGCGCTGAAGGCTCATGCCTAACTCCAATTACATAACAAAACGTTATGATGGTTTCACACGATGCGCAACGCGATGATGGTATGAACACCATCCTTTCTTTTTCGAATTTGTTTCGATTTGATTTGTCCTTGAGGCATTCCATGCCAGGCAAATCCCACGCCGGGTTCTGGGGCGATTTTGAGCGCTGCGCCCCTATTAAACTAGTCCGGAGAGTTCTCCATTCCTACCTTTCTGGAAGCCCTTCGTGAGTATTGCCTGCGTACAACCCGTAAGTATGTGCAATGCGAGGATAAGTGCATGACAGCGTCCACGCGCACCCCAAATGCCACCTCTCGCAACGCACGCAAGCGAGTCCGATGCGCATCAACAATGCATTGCGAACACCCCCCACCATGTCGACCCATGTTTACATCAGCACCGGTGACAACAGTCGATACTGATCCACGACGCCGCTTACCGTTTCCATGACGACGGAGCAGGAGAGGCACGCGCCGGACGAGCGCCGCAGGCCGATAGCAGCTGTACTGGACTGGGCGGCAGGCAGGCGCCGCCTTTTATCGACCACGTGCTCGGTCCCACGTGCCCGCCATTGGCTGGCCGCACGGAACCAACGGCGGTACGTGGGCTTCGATCGTGAGTCGGCGACAGCAGGCGCCGGATAAAAAGATCGCTCCCAATGTTCTCTTCAGTTGGATAGCGCCGGGCCTCCTTCGCTGCGCCCGGTCTTTTGTGGTTGTCTGGAGCATCTTGCGCTGTCTCCGCCCCTGAGCACCGACCCACTGATCCTGTTATAACCGGATATGTCTGCCCGAGGATAGATGTCGTTGTGGACGGATCGGGTTTCAGAGTGAGATTGGCGCCACCGTCCGTGAAGCTGGAACGTAGAAGCTCATGTACATTCCCTTATGTTTGAGAATGCATGTGTGCGTTGGGGCCTATCGTCGCAAATCCAACGTCCTTTCACACCCTGCAAGATGAGGAAGGCTCTCTGATTTTAAGTGGTTTCAAGACCGGCTGTTAAGTCCCTGGCTCGTTAAAACGTCGCCTGTTCCGTCCCGCAGACCATCCAAACACCACATGGCCGAACGATGAATATCATGTATCACAAACGAGGCAATGCACTGCGCATATGCGTCCCGTGGCCGGGCCACCGACGGGTCCGCAATCCGCGCTCCCACGCCTTTCAACCACACGAAAATGACCGACAATGACGAAAACAACTACACTTCTCTCGTGGACAAAGCTCTCTTCGATGCCTCAGTGAAGAGTCGGCACAACGCATGCACGGGATGACCATCGCCGTGTGCACCGACGTAAGCTCATAGACCGGAACCCATGGGGTTGAAGCGGTTATTTGACTTGTACGGCATTGCCTTGCTGAAACCGCGCCCTCCCTGAAACGAAAGCCTGCGTTAGCGCTTTCGACAGGGCAGTCACAAAACAATTACGAGAAATTCACTGGCGGCAAACAGCACTCAACTGAACAAAACGCAACTGATTACAGTACAAGTAATTTGTCGGTATTTTAACGAGCTAGTAAATCAACAGTGTGTCAGCCAACTTCTTCAGGTTTACGCTCTTGGAATGCAAGAATGATAAAGTCCTGTGACGCAATATCACAACCTAATTAATACGAAGACATACCATTACTGGCATTAAACGCGCGACACAGTACAGAACGAGGCTGCCCGCTTCTCACCAACAAGCCAAACGCGCATATACAGCCCAGCGGTTCACCCGCACTACAGCAAACCCGGCGCAGTGGCAGCCGCCGCTGCGCCTCGCCAGTGTCGCTCCCTGCGGCCGGGAGAGCCCCTGCACTCACCCGACGCGGGAGGCCCCTGGGGGCGGCGCGCGCGGGGTCTGCGCCCTCCCAGTCGGCGCCGTCCGCCGCAGCGTTGCCAGCTCCCGACACGGCGTACCCGCCGCCGTACCAGCCGTAGCCGTCGTAGTCGCCGTAGCCGCCACCGTAGTCGCTGTACGCGGCGCCGTAGTCGCCGTACCCGGCGCTGTAGTCTCCTCCGTAGTCGCCGTGGCCGGGCGGGGCGGCGAACTTGGCGGCGGCCGGCGGCGGCGACGGATAGACAGGTGCGCCGTAGAAGGGCCGGGGCGGCCGGGCGCCCATGATGCCGGCGGCCGGCGGCGGCCCGGCCGCCAGCGCGCCGCGGCCGGCGGCCGCTGGGGCGCCGCCGCGGCCGCCGCGCGTCCCCCGGCTGGCCGGCCGGCCCGCCCCTCCCGCCTGTCGACGGACGGGCGCCATCAGCCGATGCAGCGGACGTCGGTCCGGGCCATTGACAAGTCTTCAGGTAGGCAGGCCTCACCCAGCTGATCAGTGAAGTCAGATGTCAACCCCACAGCGAGACGTTGGTAACAGTCGAAGCTACAACCTCCTACGGAAACAGCCTGTTAAGTTCTTTCGATTAGAGCTCCTTCGACCAGTAATGCCCATTTTAAGCCTTCTAGGTTGGTTGACAAAAGAGACAGTCTGCTAGGTTGGTTGACTACCAGCGTAAATGGTACGGGCCGTTTCTCGTCAGCAGTTGGAGGCCTCCTCGGTGATTTAACCTATCTATTCCCAGTGGCCTCTGCCTAACCTGCAATCTTACACAACGCAGGGGTCCTTCCCCTGCCGTGTTCCTCAACGCCACCGACCCTTCACGCGCGCTCACCCATGCAGCCCATGTACTGCAGCATGTACATCTGCTTGCTCTTGCTGTAGTCCTCGGCCACCTTGACGTTGATAGGCTGTGAGGCACCCTCGGGCACGTGGCCGTTCAGCTCGCGGATGGCGTGCTGCGCCTCCTCACGCCGGCTGAAGCGGACGAAGCCGACGCCGCGCGGCATCTGCGTGTACTTGTCCAGCAGCAGGCGACGCTGCACGATCTTCCCGAACGGCGAGAACAGCTCGTCTAGGAAGGACTCCTCGATGTTCCTGCGGCGCCGGCGCGATCGCCAATGATCGAGAGTGGGTGTGCGAGTGGGAGGGGAGGCCAACGCCGACGAGAGGCGCACAGCACCCGACTTCCAGACAACCCATTTGTTCTTATTCACTGAGCACTGATGACTGGAAGATAATGGGATACGCACAGCATCATCCGCCGACCGCGGCAAACATGTCATGCCAAATGTTTCAGCGGCTTCGCAGGGGCCCGTGACCACCACCAGTGCGCGCCCCTCACTGATCCCGGAGTACACCCTGTGATGCGTTCAGGCGACGGATGGGGACCGTGTGGAAAATGCAGTTCGGAAGTAGGGCCACCCGCACTCCTGAGTAGGGATCATGCATCTGACACCGGGAACCAAGCGCCAGATTTACGTGCACGCGGGAGGTTTCTAGGCTGGGACGGAGACGAGGCGAAGCTCGATTTCAAAGCGTATTTGGTGGTAGCACACCAGGGGGAGCCCAGTTCGGTAACACGTGAAAACGCGGAACCTAGGCAGGACGGTGAGCGGGTGCGCTAAAACCACAGCATCACTAACAAGGCTGCACAGTTTGCAACAGTGTAGGGGAAAAATGCATCCACAAAATGTGGGCGCGCAACAAGGCCTCCAATACAGGATGTTTCATTCGAAATGTAACATTTCAAAATTATGTGATAGTATAAATGAAACATCTACGAACGTAATTCATGAAATCGAATGTTTGAAAATTTTGACATTTTTGCTTGTATAGCCAGTGTTTGCCTGTATGGCCATCTGCTTAGCAAAACGCCCCACGCCTGAACACAAAGGCACTTCTCCGAATGCCAGGAGCCACGACTGCCAGCGTCTTGTAAATGGCGTGTTCAGCCCCTAAATGCTGGGACGGAGGCCTGCAGACCACAGCTCTACTCGCAGACCACAATAGGTCTGCGAGTAGACCTATTGTGGTCTGCGAGTAGTCCACAGGTGTGTGAAAGACACTAATTTAAACGTCCGGCAATTTTCAACAACGCTCCTCGGATGACATGTGGTTGGCCAATTTTCAGTATCTTCACTTGCATATTAACCCTGACTCATCAAGTGAAACATCCTGCATGAGGAACGACCTCGTCCACCAGCCGACAGCGCCGGAGCCGCACCGCCGCTGCCGGGGTCAGCGCCCCCCCCCCCCCACCGCACCTGGGCAGGTTCTGGATGTACAGGTTGGTGTCCTTGATGTCCTGGCCGGGCGGCCTGGCGTACGACACCTTGATCCGTTTGTTTTGCACCCGCAGGCCATCCAGCAACGCGATGGCCTTGTCGGCGTCGTCAGGGTTGATGAACTCCACGAAGCCATAGCCGAAGCTGTAGCCGGTCTGCAACACACGGCGCTAGTCGTCCACCGATGCGCGTGCGCTGGCGGGGTGACCGCCACGAACGCAAGTCATCAGCTGACACAGCTGCAAGAAAACCGCCGGGTCCATGGATTCTGCTGCCTCTCGTATCACCAGCCAACGCTCCCAGCCACGCTGCAGCGATTGCCGACAGAAGTCCTCAGAGTACAGACTAGAGCGAGCTCTTTAACGCAACGAATATGTCAGCCTCTTTGCTGACCCCATCCACACTAATGCTGTGAAATTCCGGGCTGGTATAAATCGTTCAGATCTGCAGGTAAAACAAGTCTAAATCAAGAGAATTCAATCGTTAGGTGCGTTACATTTTGTTGATTGGATACCTCAGAAAGTATCATCTGTTGCCTGCAATATCACCATGCAGTGCTATAAAAGACCAACAATCACTATTTCGAATCATGACCTTATCTTAAACAGGGATTGGTCCATAATCAATTTTTTAAAGTATGTATCAATTCCTTGATTCATTTTTATACATCTCAGCGTAAGAAATTTGCCCAATTAATATGTGAGAGACATCGATACAAAATGCGTATCTGATTACATGCATTTTTCCTCACACTTATTAGCCCGGAGCACTGCTTCATGGAATACCTGTAAGCACTAACAATCATAACACGCATGGAAGGGGCTGTCCAAAAAATACGTTACGGATTTTTGGTCAGTTTCTTCTCTCGCTCTCCGCTTTAGCAACAACTATGCTAGACGAAACCTGCCTCTCCTTAGTTGGGAGACTCCGCTGAAGTTTTTGGGAGTTGGAGGTTCTCTTTAGCTGCGTCAAGCATAAACAACAAAGTAGTTCTACTTGGCCCCCAACTGACAGAGCTGAGAGGCCTATAACGGTCGTGTCCCTTGTCATAGATGAAACCCAATAGAACACGGCTTTGAGGTTTTAATCAGATTAAAATAACAGCATGGTTTGCAACAAAATTGGATGTGCTGTCACACTGCCTAAAAAAACTCCCTCCCTGCCTCGTTACGCAACTGTTACGGTCTATCAAACCCCCCATTCCATGCCTAACGTAATTTACGGACGGCTCCTAAGAATGATCGCGCCATCAGGAAGACCATTATCGTCCACTAACATACTGTTTCAAAAGCTAGGAAAAGGGGATTCAGCGCAGTTGAGGCCAGCCGATGACTGCATAGAGGGAGAAGGAGACAAAACTGGAGACCTATGACCTAATAATGCTTTACCATAATAATTTTCGACAAGTCAACTGGGGCTAGCTAATGCATATTGGTTTTGGTGTAATACTATTTTTACAGTTACCCCAGCTTTGATGGGCAAGAAGTTTCTGGCCGCTTGGAAGATTGGCCATATTCTTCGCCAGACAGTGCGGAAAATTTATTTGGGTTACCCACTAGGACTTTCCAGTACCAGTCCCTACGGACGGACTCAAAACTTCGCATTACCTCGCGGAGAAGTCGCCAAGCTGCATATTGGCCAACAGTTATGGCTCACCAAAGCTGGATTAGCCTAAAAACTACCTCACACACACATGAACTGAGCTTACTAGCATAAAAAGGCATGCACATGTTAGGATGGGGCTGGTGGTCGAATTATCACTGGGTAATATGATGACTGTACGTATTTGTGCCGCGAAGCCATGTTCCTCCAACGTCAGAAAACACCGCATTATGATAAATAAGAGTGTGATTAGATAATACCAGGAGAAACTTAGCATAACAATGTCAATTTTGTACAATAAATGGAGTGATGCTTAAACTAACACAGAGGTGGTATGTATTTACATAACGTGTACTTGGTTACGAGCACATCCCACGGTTAACACGCGCCCGGGTGGCCGGTTAAACACCTTTCGCTCGAATGGCGTGGGGGTCAACTTGCCACCTCCCCCTTAAGATCTCCCGCAGAAACTAAGAGAGCTAAAGGCACCACATTCAAACGGTGTGTTGGCCTGTATGTGAACCCACTTGTGCCAAAATTTGGTGTTCCTAGATCATGACGTTCGGGCCAAATAAGGTCAAACGAGGTAAAACTCCACCTTAGAGTTTTAAGTGCCCCAGAACCTCAAGACTTGTTCTAGAAAAGATCGCCGGTACTCATTTAAGGTTAGTGACTGTTTGACCTTTCGGAGGTCGTATTGTCAAAAATCATACAATACTGCTTGACGTTCTGCATCCCAATAAGCGTTAAAGATTACGCTAGGCAGTATGTTCTAACAAAGTTTTGACCCAGGTCATTTTAGGTCAATGACCTATCCTGACTGCTCAGAAGTCTATGGAAGATGTATAACGCGATTCTCGTCATCAATAAACTCGAAATGGAAACGAAAAACTAACCTACACAGCAAGCTGTAGAGTAATGAAACAGGTTAGCTTGACCTGGGTCTGACGTTCATACCTGACCCTAGGTCAATGGAATTTGTTAATTCTATCGTTATATTGCTAAAAAAACAGAAATGCATTGCTTCGTCTAATACTCCGTTGTTACATCAGATAGAACGTTTCCTCACAAACCGTGTTCGCTAAATCCATGGACTAACTCTGACCTGCCGTAGCTCAGCGACCTCACAAGGTACATCCAAATTTTTGGCGCCGAACGATCCGTTATTTAACTGTCTACAACTACGCAAAATTTGGCACGGATACGCCGCGCCGTTGGAAACCATTCTGGAAAACACTTGGGAGTGGTGGGTGGTGGTGGTCAAATTGACACCCCACCCGAGCGCGTGTTAATAGAAAACCATCGGTTAAGTGATGAACATACTTTACAATCGTTCCCTTTGTACTCATTCAAATCGACAACACCCACTGAAGTGTGATCATATCTGGCTACCAAACATATGACCCAGTAGCAGACTATATTTTGTGGGACGATAAAACATGACCAGATAAACAGCGCCACGCCAGCACAGTTCATTCTCTGAACAGTCCAGCGCTACAACACATCGACAAGCTCAAGCGCTAGCAGAGGTCAGTCAATGCATCTAGCGGATTTCAACAAATAGTGCATGAGTAACAGGAGTCTAGGAGCACCACTACAACAAAGTGATCATAGAACATAAACTACACTACATGACTGGCTTTACAATCACCCTGCTTCAAATAGCAGCCTAAAATGCCCAAATAGGAGCATTTTATCTTGATGCATTGTGTTTACCTGCATATTCCTCATAACTCTACACTGCTTGATGGCCCCCACTGAGGAAAACATTTGTGAGAACTCTTTATCTGTGAGGGCCTGTGGTAGGTAGTTGATAATAAGATTCTTGTTGTTGACTTCAGCCTCTTGTTTTATGTTGCCACCATTACTTCCATCATCCATCTTGACCGTACTTAAAAATAAGAAAATTACAAATAGAAAACTACAAAAATGGCGCAATAAATAACTAGTCAATGAAAAAAGCCTAGCAACATTAATCTCGAAACTAAAATCCACTGGGGACCGAAGCCAACTTATTGGACACAGTCTAGATGAAAAGCTTAAACTGTTTCCAAATGTCAAACATCACCAGTTTCTCTAAACACGGGACAGAACACGAGGGTGCCGCAGATCATGAGATCGACACGTGAAACTATGGACATAATGATACACAAGTATCTGTAATGAAACACGTCAGATGCCATAGCCACAACACGCCATAACGAAGAAGCGCTTACCAGCATATGCTCCAAAATATCCAGAGATAGCATCAGTAAAGTTCATGTTTGGCAAGAACCTGACAGGGCTAAATTTCCCACACCGTTACTGCCCACATGTTTGGCAGGCAATGGACTTAAAGGGTCTTCCACATTTGTAAATATTGAGACCACGTGAGATATGATAGAAACGCCCACTTGAAATCATCAGCATACTTCCAAGCCCAAAAGACGGCTCCACACAACGAAATTTCGCTATGAGGTCAACACGGTCCTCAATTCGTCACCGGTTCTTTACGTCATAGAACGTTTTATGACGCCAGAGACGCTGCCAAATTAGCCACATCAGACCCGTAATCGTGGCGGGCTGTATGACTCGCCTGCAGTGCCTTTAAGCGCCGCAAGGTGGCGGTAGTGGTTTATGCATGGAACTTCGTGTTTAAGAGCTATGCACGAGCATTTTCGCCTTTTCCCGTGTTTTTTTAACATTACTTCATGATGACATGCCTATTACTTTCATCTGCATATTCAGTTACAGTGATATTCTTCAGTTATTCTATCGACGAGCTGACGTCCATCAAAGCCAGTAGTCGTCCAAATGCCTGTGTTGTTTATCACAGAATACCGCTTGCGACTGGGACGTGCAAAATGCAGGTCAATGTGACTATTAGCCAATTACCGTCTATCATTGGAAACCTTACATTTCAGTAGTCATATTTGTCTTAACCATGACGAAAAAAGGCAGTGAGGTGGGACATTCACGCGATGCTTCTACGACATAATACATCTCTTGGTGACATCCAGATAGACAGTATGAAATAGGATGCACCACTTCACATGTGTCATGCGCAGAAGCAAGAGGATTTGAAACCTTAAAAACAGCATGGCTGGGACCGCGGAGAATAATCTTGAAAATGGCTCTCTTGGTAAACTGTCCCCCTAAACAAATGTGAGCCGGCCCCTTGACTGAAAACTTACCATCTTTGTTCAGAGCTCAGCAGATCAAACCTACTCACACTAAAGAGGATTTCAATACACGGAGGATTGTTTTATTTCTGATCATGTCACTAACTACCGCCGCAGGTGCATACTGCACAGCAGACACCTCTGAGCAGAATTACGCGCCTTAATTGGAATATTCACCATCCGAAGATAGAGAAAAGCAATAAACATGATGAAAGAAACTCTCTTGCAATCAATGGTTTGCATCTAAGTGTAAAAGACTGCTCTGAACAACACAGCTTCACCATTCAGCAATATGTTCCTTAACACGTCATCGCTTGGTTTCGTCGTGGAACGTCTTCATGGCGTCAAAGTTGCTACCAGGCTAGGGTGTCGGAATTGACACTGCAGCAGGCGGGTCGACTACATTGTAGTACATCAACTTCCCGAAAGGTGGCATTGCTCGTTCGGGCGTGTTTGCTGAACCACAATATTGTTATGTGGGCCTTCTCGTGGTGTTGCGTATTTGTCCGTGATTTTATATTTTGAACTGGCATTCACATGCACATTTATGGCGCTATTCTTGAAGGGAGCATTTCACATTTGTATCAGGCTACGAGATGAAATAACAATTTCGAATATCATTCGGTGCCGTTCACAGCCCCCCCCCCCCCTTCTTGAACCCTAAAACCCTCTAGATTCTGAACCACCCTTCCGCGAAGATGTGTAGACTGCTTCGTGCAGACTATTTCAAGGCCACTCAGGCATGCGCACTGCCATAGCAACGCCATTCAAATCCAGCTGTCCACCAGGCCAGGCGGCGTTCTTAGTCAGGAAGGTCATCACCGTCCAATAGTTCAGATCTGGCCTCCTCGGGCTTGATTTCCAAATGAAGTGGACGTCGATTGGCTCTCAAACAATACTGAGGAAGTCGTGCAAGCATCAATTACGAATCATGTTTCGTGCTACATAGCATACAAAATTGGACATTATTTCTTACTGGCTAGTTACTGCGTAAATACAACTTGTGATCGAACGACTTAACGCCGTGACCGAGTCTATCAATACAAGTAGACATGCTCAACTCACGGATATATATCTATATCTATATCCATATATATCTATCTATCTATATATATATATATATATATATATATATATATATATATATTTGTATGCTATCTAGCACAAAACGTGACTCGTGACTGATGCTTGCACGACTTCCTCAGTATTGTTTGAGAGCCAATTGATGTCCACTTCATTGGGAAATCAAGCCCGAGGATATATATATATATATATATATATATATATATATATATATATATATATATATATGCAAGCACACCACGAGAAAGGTCCAAAACACAAACACCTTACACCATTTGGCTCAGCGAACACTTCCAGCACCGCAATGCCATCACTCAATGAGTTTGATGTACTATGAGCAAGTGGTAATTTTGCATGGCTAGTTTGGCAGTACCTCAATGTCATGCAAATGTTCCATAAAGACCAGGACACAATCAATGACATATTGAGGACCATATTGACTAAAGAACAAACTTCGCTGTCTAAAACAGTCTTTTATGCCTAAAATAAAGAAAAGTAGTAAAAGCAAACCAATAGGTGTAATTGCATGAATATCATAATATATGTTGCTTGCTTCAATACTTTCCAATGCGCAGCATTGCCTTTAAGTTATTTGATTCCCAGTCTTATTTCTGCCATAACTGGTAGCACTGTCAAGATTCCTACATGGCATATACAATTATTACACCAAGACTCCAGTGAATATATACAACCAAGGATTTGTGCTTTAAAACTGCACCCAACACATTAGACCTGTTGATGACCAGCTGGGGTCTGTTATTGCCAAAAGCATGCTCAGGTATGCCAGATGCACATAATTCAATAATCATATTTTCTTTGACCTTGAGCATTACATTGCTAATAACGTGAAAATGTTCATCTGATGTTTCTATGTGTGCCTTGCGTTTGCCTTGCGTTGTGTTGTTATGCGTTTCTATACGTTTCTATGTGTCATGCGTGCCTGGGTGACATTGAAGTAGTCTGTATCAAATTGTCTCCACAAGTTTACAGGCATCAAGATCAGTAGCAAGATGGTGTTTGAGTCTTAAAAGACCATATCTGTGAACTGTGCTATATGCTTTTTTCAAAATGACTATCTCACTTCAAAACCCCATTGAAATATAGAAAGCTCTATTTCACTGTTAGCAGAGGAGTGCTCTGAGCATTTCTAAATATCCCTGTGTATGTGTGTGCACAACTAAATGTATATCAATGTTCTGATAGTAATGCTCTGCTAAGAATCTAATGAATGCTCTAATAATATTAATTTTCTGATTTTGTATTACTCATATGCTTTTCTTTTGCAAACCCAAATGGTCCACTTACCACTGATACATTTGCAATTATGTTGCATTCTTTTAATATATTTAAAGTACTTATTTGTTCATCAATCTATTACATTGTTCTCACCACATAATTGCTTGTTGCATAGCTTATAGTCTGCCCATTCCAGTTAAACTCACAGTGGCGGTAACAGCCACACACAAGGATCACTAACATTTTACGTGTTGATACATTGTTAATATAATACACAATTTCTCCATATTGTGTAAGGCACAACTGCATGGCAATGGGCCAGACTGCACAAAATGCATACCATACAGAGCATGCCCAGCATAGGACATAGCAGCATGACAGACAACTTCAGCACACACATGTGGCCCATCCAAATATTTGGAGTAAAGCACACAATCAGCACAAATGCCAACAAGTGCTCAATACTTCAAGGAATGTGATGTTTCAATGACAATTTCAAGTAGAAATAATGCAACAATATTTTTCATGAAGCAATTTCATGAAAATTCCACACAAGTTGGCCTGACTGGAATACAGCACAAGCAAGGATAATGTTCAGCTCACTGGTATTGTTTAAGCACCCATCACAGTGGATGCCTTGTTTGTAAACTCAGATATTGGTGGATAACTCAAGTATTTATCCCACCTTTTGCTATACCTGACTATGCCTAAACCAAAACGAACATTCAAGTGCAAAGACATGATGACCGGGCCAGCGACCGGCATCATTGGCCACTTAACCTTAGAAGCCTGACTAATGGCTTTATGAAGAGGTATCACAGACATCATGGTGCATTCACACCAGGTACGTTCAGCATGGTGCGGGCACGCTAATGAAATTACGTACACACCGGATATGTTCGGGGCAATGTGTCTTTGCAGTTTTGAGGAGACACACGGGGGAGGAGTGATAACTGTTATCTACGATCATCTACACGACACCTTTCCTCAAGATACTCACCTTTAGCGTACTTACCCTACACAGAACATAGAACACACAACCCCTAACTGGATCCACACCGGCAATCTCCACACGTAAACACAGCCCACATGCCCCTCCTCATAGAACCAGTATACTGTCGTTTTATTTCCTTACGCGTTCAAGGAATCGTTTGCGCATCCGTCTCTGGATTTGGCGGCTCAAAGCACTGCAATGCACTAGATAGTCAGCTGCGATTGCAATCCTGCCTACGTAGTGCCCCTCGGCTAGGTTTGAGCACCTTGCCAGTGGTAAATGAATTGAATTTTCGAGCAATACACAACCAAGTTTTTTGGGCGTAAAGTTAGCAATCTATCTTCATATTTTTTTCGTTCCAATTTGCTGACATTTATGTCCACACTTCAAGACAGCGTTTTTATTCCTTGATATTTTTAAGGCTCTGTATGACGATGGTACACGTTTTCGGTTGAAAATGCCTTAGATTAACTAACAGATCATATATTGTGTTTTACTGACCGACCAGTTTTCAACAAGTACTTGTAACCAAGCGGCATGGCTAAAAGGCACTTTAACAGCACTTTAACGTTTTTGTTTTTGCTAATTCAAGACGAACCTAGCGCATATAATGCATTATTCCGGCGCTTTATAGCGCCGTGCGAGGCTATCTAACGCCGCGTATGCTAGGAGGTGACCGAGGTGACCGCGTGCTGTCGTTGGCTTGCAACTGATCGTCAGTGTGGTCGCCGTGGTGCACTGCGGTTGTGGCACTGTTGTCACTGTCGATGTGTCACTTTGTCACTGGTGTACCGGAAGACTGCATGCAGTAAAAGAAGCTGACGAGAAGGACTATTTACGAATCGTGGGTTTTCACAAACCATGGTGAATGCAAAGGGAGAATCCTCAAGTGAAGACAACTCAGGTAATGTATCGGTAGAATTCCTTCATGACAGCGTCTTGGGTCTGGATCAGCAGTCATCTATTGACATTTGTGTCTGGTCCAAACTGGTTACCTAGTTTTGTTTTCTGAAAATATGAGTTTTAGCCACATGCCCTGTTTTGCGAGCACTTAAATACCCAGGTGGGCTATCCATGCTTAAATACACCATACCAAGGGACTTGTTAATGTTCACCTGTTAACAAGAGAAAAGGATGTATGTATAAAAGAAGGTCTGTAAGCAGACCTATGCTGTACTGAAAATTCAATGCAGATAAAGTAGTAAACCCAGTAACCCTGATTAAATAAATAATGCTTCCATGTAAAACTAATTTTTGAATTCTTCATTATGTGTTGGATTGACCACCTGATCTCATTTATTTTAAATCAATGGTATGCTTTTCCTATATGACTCAATAGAAAAAGCATGTCAGCAGTAAGCAAAAAGAGAAGAAATAAGTAGAAAAATGCTGGCTGATCCTCTGAAGCTGTTCACCCCTGGCTGTAATATGACTATCTGGCCAATTTGTTAAGATGGGATCTGGACTTTCAACTTTGGCTGCTTGTCAACCTGAGTCTTTTTGCACTCAAATCCACTGGTGATTTGAATTGTAACATCATTGGTGAAACACTGATGATGAAAATTGAAACATTGGTGAGAGCCACTGATGCCCTTTTTACTATGTGCTTAAATGGAACATTTTATTTGCATTGCACTAAAATCTGGTTTCTGCCGAGCTAAGCCACACAATGCCTGATTTGTTGTGAGTGCAATGAAAATCTTTTGCATTGTTGATATAATTTGATGATAGCATACAGGATACTGGGTCTTCTCATGCAAAGTGTGCAAGTGCTGTTGTGGCCTCATCAAGTGTGGTTCAATCACAAGGCTTTGCTTTGTACCTTCAATGCTCATGTGAGATCATTGATAGAGTAGGGTAGTGTTATTTGGAGTGGTGCTGCCAGTTCTGTTTCTGTTTGTCATTTCCACTGGATCCTGTGCATCCTCTCACTTTCTTCAAAACAGCATCTATCAAGGCATGCTTTGTTCGGTCTGACATCTTATTTCTATATAACTTTTTTGTGTGTGTTTGTATGTGTGTCATACATTATTGTTTTCCTAAAACTGGACTACTTCTGTAATTGGGCTTTTGCCTGTAGAATGCCTATGTCCTAAATAAACAAATAAACAAATAGTGCATTTATATTACTTACTCTTAGATCCAGTAATGCTGCTTTAATACCATCAGCTATCATTTTATTGTTAATTTGTGCAATGAATTCATGGTTTATGCCATAATAGCATTCATGCTAGGCCTCTTTTGTGTTAACATCTGCCCTGTTCATGTTGACAGGGTCTGAGAGTGATGCCAACTCCAGCAGTCAGTCTGGATCACCTGCACCCTCTGGCTCATCACAGCACAGAAGAAGCAAGTCAGGATCAGCAAGTCCTGCAGCAGGGCACAAGTCAGAAAGTGATAGACCTGCAAGTCCTTCAGAAAGTGAGAGGTCAGGCAGTGCTCCGGGAAGTCCTGTAGGAAGTGAAAAATCAGGTAGCCAGCAAGGAAGCCAAGTGTCTGGAAGTCCTGCTGGCAGTGGAAATTCTGGAAGCCCAGCTCATAGTCCAGGAAGCCATCAGGGTCGTGCCAGATCTGGCAGCCATGCAGGGAGTGGTAGATCTGGCAGCCCTGAAGGAAGTGCCAGATCAGACAGCCCTGCTGGCAGTGACAGATCTGGCAGCCCTGCAGGAAGTGTCAGATCTGGCAGTCCTGCAGGAAGTGCTAGATCTGGCAGTCCAGCAGGAAGTGCTGGATCAAGAAGCCCTGCAGGAAGTCCAAGATCTGGAAGCCCTGCAGGTAGTGCTAGATCTGGCAGTCCTGCAGGCAGTGCCAGATCAGGAAGCCCAGCTGGGAGTGCCAGGTCTGCCAGCCGTGCCGGAAGTGCTAGATCTGGTAGCCCTGCAGGAAGTGCGGGCTCTGGCAGTCCTGCTGGAAGCGCCAGGTCAGGCAGTCCTGCTGGAAGTGCCAGGTCAGGCAGTCCTGCGGGAAGCGCCAGGTCAGGCAGCCCTGCGGGAAGCGCCAGGTCAGGCAGTCCCGCTGGGAGCGACAGATCCGGGAGTCCTGCGGGAAGTGCCCGGTCCAGGAGCTCGGTCAAAAGCGGAAAATCTGGGAGTCAAGCACGAAGTGTAAGGTCGGGAAGCAGACCTGCTGACGGCGGTGAGTGACCGGGGACGGCCCAGATGAAATGTTAATGTTGTGGCAGAACCAGGTGAACTCTGCTGTCCTGTGGGCTCAACGATAGCACACGTCTGGCATTAGCCAGCATTTTGATCACCGTCTGTGAGATGTGTATGCCATTGCGTCCCATCCCACTAAGCGTGTGCGGTCTCAGTCGCGCATGCTTAGTAGGATTGCGCAAATGCTGGCCGCTTCACGCCCGCCCAGCGTCCGCGCGTGCCTTGCCAGGGGTGTCAGCCGGCGCTGACCAGACCCTGCGCCCGGCAGACTCGCCCAAGTCGGAAGGGGGCGGCGCGAGCCCGCGGCGCCACAGCGGTGATAGCCGCTCTCGCTCCGGGTCGCGGTCGCCGCAGCCGGCCGCCGACGAGGAGCGAGCCTCGGGTAGGTCAGGGCGCTCCGCTGGAGGCGCTCGCCGGTCGGACAGGCCCCGGTGGCGGCGCTGAGCGCTGTGGTGTGCTATCCGCATGCTGTGCCGTACAGCTGGCTCCCGTGAGCACGCGGGGAAGGCTCGCACGGTCCATTAGGCAGGCTGGACAATTCAGCAGCCTCACGTCAAAGTACCAAAATTATTTTTTGCGTTTTTGAGGTCACATAGATCAGACAGTAGTATTAGCCCTATTCCTCGGAGAAAATCAGAAGAATGGAGACATAGTTGGTTTGATCTTTCAGCAACATACCTTTATCGAAACAATAGCAGAAGATATAGCTTCCACTTTTATTTCTTTGTCCCGGTTTTCCTTGTTTTTGTTTCCATTCTCCTGGTTTCTTTCCGAGGAATAAGGCTATTACTGCTCCCTGATCTACGTGAATAACGTTCCTCGCTAGCGCACTGAACAACTTACGTCGCTTTTTAGGCCAATGCCAGCTGTTTGTCACAAACAGAAAGATAAGCTCATTCACTGGGAGCGTAGTTGCTGAGGTATGCTGATGATTCACTGCTGGTCGCCAATGGTCACTCTGATGTGTAATACTGACGACGCTGACACCGCTCGTACCATTCCATTTTGCTGATTACTTCCTTCCGCATTCCACATCCTGTCATTCCTCTTCGCTGGTTCCCGAATGGCCGCAGTGCATGTGGAAGTGTGCATCTGTCCGCTGGCATTGGCCTGCGCAGAGGACGCGTCCGCTCTCGGGTTCTGCGGCCTGAGCAGGCGGTGCCGACTGGACCTGACGCGGCGCTCTGTTCTCGGCAGTGCACTCGGACAGCGAACGCTCTGATGGCGGTTCGGAGGCTGCCGCCGCCAGGTACGGCACGGTACCCCGGTCCATCTCCCGTATTCCGCCAGCGGACATTGACGAGTTCAGAACCAGCAGAGAATCGAGTCCCGATGTCCCTTGATTCTGCGGAGCTGAGCAAGTGTATCCGTGATTGTGGCTTCATAGCATGATTGGGACGAGCTGTTCGTATTATACACGGTTATGTTGTCTCTTGTTCATCATCATCAAATGAAGCCAATGAATTTCTCTGTTGTCAGCAAAAGAAAGCAAGGAGCTCATAGCGACTCAGACTCAGTGGGAAGTGATCGAGGAAAAAAGAAGAAACCCAAAACTGCTGATAGTGATGGAGATGAAACTATGAAAGGTATTGCATACGTGGACAGCATTATAGCGCTGCCCACATACCGTTCAACACGGGTACAACGATGCGAACGAGTCTCCTGTGTACAGACTGTTTACATACTGCAGTAACCGCCATTTGCACGCCTCCCACGTCAACAGGCGTGTGTCTCCGGTGCCGTGTGGCGGTGACGGCCCACAGCGGCGGCGCCTGACCCTGCCGTCTGTGGTCAGAGGTGGGCGCATCAGACTTGTTCGGCGACGCCTCCGACATCAGCGAGGACGAGGCTGCGCCCGGCGCCGCCGAGCAGCCGGCCGTCGCCAGCGACGATCAGGACGACGTGCGGCGCGGCAGCGACTATGAAGACGAGGAGCGTCAGACCGCCGTCATACAGGTCAGACGGCTCCGGACGCAGGTGGTCGTGGACGTGGTGACGGCATGCAGGTCGGGGTGGTGACGTCATACATGGAGAAGGGCAGTGACGTCGTGTAGATCAGGGTAGTGACGTCCGGCAGGTCAGTGTGGCGACGCCATATAGGTCGGCGCAGGACGTCATGTAGGTCGGCGTAATGACGCCATGCGGGGAGAGAGTCGCGTGCTGCAGATCAGGGCCCGCTGCGGTGAGGTTGGGTGAAGGGGGGGGGGGGGGGGGGGAGGTCTGGTGCGGTATATATATCAGTGCAGTGATGAGCGGTTTTTGTGACCGTGACCTGCCGTGACCGCGACCCCGGGTGGAGCCTTGACCTGCCGTGACCGTGACTCCGGGGGTGGGGGCATGACCTGCTGTGACCGTGACCCCGGGGGTGGAGGCATGACCTGCTGGGACCGTGACTCCGGGATGGACGCATGACCTGCTGTGACCGTGACCCCGGGGTGGAGCCTTGACCTGCCGTGACCGTGACTCCGGGATGGAGGCATGACCCGCTGTGGCCGTGACTCCTGGCTAAAAACGTGACCTGCCGTGGCCGTGACCCTCCGTAACCGTGTCGGCCAGGACGACGACGAGGAGGAGGAGCAGAGCGAGAAGCCGGCTGCTCCCGAGGAGAAGGAGCCGCCGCCAGAGACGCGCATTGAGGTCGACGTGCCCAAGATCTCCACTGACCTCGGCAAGGTAGCTGCGGATTGCGAGGCCTGCCGTAACTTCCGTTTACGTCGGTCGAGATGCCAGCAGTGTGACGTATTCGTGGCGAACGCTCGCACTGGAAGTCAAGCCGGTCGCGTTGGGATGGGAATGGACGGGCGTGCACCTGATGGCCAGTGGTCCGACAGCTTTGTTGAACTGCTCTACCTGTCAATTGTGCTGATGTCTCCTTTGGTAACGCCATGCCGTCCGCTCAGTTTTTGGTGCAGTGCCTGACGTCCGCCTCCTTGTTTGCTATGCTCACGGCCATCCATCGGAACTCGAATCGGTGGCAGCATCACAGCTGACGTGCGTCCGCACCACAGGAGCTGAACTTCGTGAAGCTGCCCAACTTCCTGTCGGTGGAGACGCGGCCGTTCGATCCGCAGACGCACGAGGACGAGATTGACGAGGAAGAGACGCTGGACGAAGAGGGCCGCGCCAGGTGAGTGGCAGCGCACGGCCAAGGGAGCATGGAGTAGGGACGAATGGGAGAGCAGTCCATGGTGGGGTTGCAGCGGCAGTGGACAGTACGCGGGAGGGAGGGGGGGGGGGGGGGGGGCGACGCACTCTGCTGCTGTTTAGCACGTACTGGGAGGGTGGCTGCTTGGACATGCAAGCAGGGGAAACCAGCTGGGTTGTGCATTGAAAGACCTGAGTGAGATGAGTTCACGGGGGGGGGGGGGGGGGGGGGGAAGGGACGAAGCGCGGGTTAAAGTTCTGTGTTGTGGGGGCTCTGAGAGGACGGAACATTGACCGCGCCCTTTGCTGAAGGGGAGGGGGGAATGTGGAAGGAACGCCGCATCAAGTTTGTGACCCACCCGGTTCCCGCTCGCGCCGCGCGCTGCCGGACGTCTGTGCATGGTAAGGAGAGGGCAGTGGTGTGTACTGCAGTGACCGGAGCATGGTATTCGGTCACGGAGGCAAGGAACATCTCTCTGCAGCACCCTTTGTCCGCAGATGCACAGGCTAGCGAGCGGCTTCCTTTGACACAGAATTATCTCGTGCAGCACCGAGCTTGAGGACTTGAGGAGAACGAGCTTGAGAACAAAGTTGGATGCGTCCGGTTTGGTGATTGAGAGCAGGACAGCGCTGCGCCGAGCCCACCTCCCCTCCCACCGTCTGCGTCCCGCGAATGTCCCCTGGCAGAGCGGTGAAGCTCTGTCCGTCGGCAGGCTGAAGCTGAAGGTGGAGAACACCATGCGCTGGCGCACCGTGTTCGACAACGAGGGCAACGACCTGAAGGAGAGCAACGCCAAGATGGTGCGCTGGTCCGACGGCAGCATGTCGCTCTACCTCGGATCGGAGATCTTCGACGTGTACAAGCAGCCGCTGCAGGTGAGAGCCGTCTCCTGGAGCCGGGCGGGCCGCTTCAGCGGGTGGCTGCTTCTTGCTGTCCTCCTTGCCGTTACAAGCTTGCAGTACCGCGAGTGTCGTCAGGGCCGTTTTCCACGGCCAGCTTGCAGGAGGTTGGACTCTGTCGTTGGATGATCAGAACGGTATAGTTTGCTTCCCGTTGGCTCTGTGCGACTACTGACGTGCTCGATGGCGGCAGAGTAAACCGTGGCGTCCTGTTTCGCATGGATGGGACGGGGTGACAGTGACGACGCCTGTGTTCGTTGTCGAGCCGATCCATTGTTCCCGTTTGTTTTGGTAGTCACAGCCACGGTTGGTATCGCTGCATGACGTTATGTTTCCACTTAGTCCATGCGCCCGCACACCCTGTCGAAAGTCACCCGTCCTATCGTTACGTCACTGGCTGTTGTGCACAGGACGATGTCCGTGGTTGTGACGGACGTGCTGACGTCAGAGGTGTGTGTCACCTGCTCCGTGGGAGGCGGTATACATTACAGACAGGCCAGCTCCAGCTCCAGCTCCAGCTCCAGCTCCAGGTCCAGGTCCAGGTCCAGGTCCATGTCCAGCTCCAGCTCCAGCTCCAGCTTCAGCTTCAGCTTCAGCTTCAGCTTCAGCCGCACTGGGTCCGCGCCCACCGCCTCTGACGCCCGCCTCGCCCCTCCCGCAGGGCGACCACAACCACCTGTTCATCCGCCAGGGCACCGGCCTGCAGGGCCAGGCCGTGTTCCGCACGAAGCTGTCGTTCCGGCCGCACTCGACCGATTCGTTCACGCACCGCAAGATGACTCGCTCCATCGCCGACCGCTCGCACAAGACGCCCGGCGTCAAGGTGCTCACCAGCGTCGGCCAGAACCCCGAGATGAACCGCTCGCAGATGATCAAGGTGAGAGTCTGCCGACGGACGGCCTCCGCGCGCTGCTGGGTCAGCGGCGGCGGCAGGCGCTGGGCTGGGCGGCGCTGGGTGGGGTGGCTCGAGGGTGAAGTGTGTGGTGTTGTTGGGCGTCGTTGTCATGCTTTCGTATGGTGTCTCAGACCCAGCTTGATGCTCGCTGGGCGTTCATGACAGGACGTACGCGCACGTCCTAGCTTGATGCTCGCTGGGCGTCCATGACAGGACGTACGCGCACGTCCTAGCTTGATGCTCGCTGGGCGTTCATGACAGGACGTACGCGCACGGGACGGGTGTAAGGGCTGTAGTCGGTTAGGATAACACCCTTGCCTTCGTTTCGGCGCCGAATTGCCCGTCAAGACTGGCCCATCCGGCCATCGTGTCCTGTGTTCTTTTGGGTGCATGTGAACTTATACCTCCACTTTCTGAGTGTGACCAATCAATGTATCACAGTTAAGCGTGGTGCCAGGCAGAGGGTGACGCGTGCTTCCCGGCACACCGGGGCTGGAACGTCATGAGCGCCGTCAGCGCCGTACATGCCTGTGCGTGACGTCCTTGCTGGCGCGTTCAACCATCTCGATCGTGTGGTTTGCGCTTGTATATTCTTATTTACGATTGGTGACATCAGCGTGTGTTCAGCGTGCCTGACACGTGCGCCTGTCACCGCCACCGCCTCCGACACGCCTGTGCTGTCCGCCCGTGTCCGCCGTCAGCCGCTCTGTGCGCCCGTGTCCACCGTCAGCCACCCTGTACGCCCCTGTCCGCCTTCAGCCGCCCTGTCTGCCCCTGTCCGCGGGCGCGTGACGTGTCCGCCTGTGCCGCCAGCAAGAGGAGATCCGCTTGCGGGCGTCGGTGCGGCGGGACGCGCAGCGGCGCCGCGTCAAGGAGCGCTCCTCGCGCGGCCTCACCGCCAGCTACCTGGAGCCGGACGGCGAGGGCGCCGACTCAGGCGACGAGACCTCCATCCTGGCCATCAAGAAGAAGGCCAAAGGTCCGCGGTGCCGACTGCTCAGTTGCTTTGTGTTGTGCACTGAGCGTTGGAGATTGAGGTTTTATTTCGTGGTAGTTGGCGTCATTGCACTGATTATGCCCGATGTGTGTACTTTAGTTTGCTGGCAGTTGTGTGAATAGTGTCATTAAACGGACTTTGCTGCTCGCCCTGTTTTTATTGGCGTGGGAGCTGTCGGTATTGGTATCTGACCTATCAATGGCTTGTGTATTTATGCGGTGTCGAGGTAGTTGCGTTTGTGCCATATCCCCGTGATCACTTTAGCAGCGCGCGAACCGCGCGCGGGCGCGTGCGATCGTGGCCTGGAAGTGACTTTGTGCGCATGCCCGACAGAGGCTCTCCGCGCGCCCATCTACTCCTCGGACGAGGACGGCTCCGACATCGAGACAAGTCGCGCGCGCAAGCTGGAGCGCGCCAAAAAGGCCATCGAAGAAAGCGACGAGGAGGGCGGCGCGGCGGCCGCCAAGTCGGGCGGCTCCGGCTCCGGCTCCGGGTCTGGCTCGGGCTCCGGGTCCGGCTCCGGCTCTGGGTCTGGCTCGGGCTCGGGGTCGGGCTCGGGATCAGGCAGCGGCAGTGACAGTGATTGAGTGAGTGTCCGTTCCCGGGCATGATAGCATCACGTGACGCCACGCTTGCTGGGGCGCTGGCGAGAACGCAGTTGGGACATGCGCAGCGGACCAGAGATCCGAAGTGATGCGCGTGTGACGATGTCGGGTGCGACTTGAAAAGCAACAAAGAGTGGCGTCGGAGAGATGAGAAAGTGAAGCCAGCGCGTGGATCACCCTGGCCAAGCAGCGCCGCTCCCGGCGAAGCCACTGGGTGTCCTTTCCTGGTTATACGTGGCTGACTTCTTTGCCCACTGCAGTCCTCCACTTCGTCGTGTACATCGTCGGATACGCCGAAACAAAAATAACGGGAGCTTTTGTGCCCCACGATGGTGTGTCAGTCATTGGCATTGTGCTCATAATTTGCAGGTTGAGAACATGCGAAGCGCGCGTAGTGAGCGAAGTGTAGTGAGTGATGGAGAATAAACCTTCATTTCACCCATTTTGTTGCCGACTCTTTGCCTTCACGTGCGGGATCGCCGTGCTGGCACGGTCGCTGTGACCGCGGGCTGTACTGTTGTGTACCAGGCTCCTGTTTTCGCCTGCGCACGAGACAATCGGTTCGCCTCCCCAGCGGCGTACGCGGCCGTCCGGGGTAGTGGTGGAGCCCTAATGTCTTTTGTGCGAGGTCGCCGGATAGCGAGGCGGAGATGCTAGCCGTTGCTGCCGAAGCCGGGCATTAGCTCCATCAGTCGAAGCTGAAAATCTGTTGTCATTAAATCCTAGCAATGTCAGACATACACTTTGGAGGCTTGTGTTCAATAGTTGCACGACGTTTACTTGTGACCGTGAGCGCTGCCTTGAACGTAGAGCCCACTTATAGCGTATCTCAAGGCTGCTTGGTGTCATTGGACCAGTACCTCCTGATTCACTTAAAGGGAATGTTTCACATTTAAAAATATTGGTGATATGATGAAACAAGCTAACTTATGACTATCGGTAAACTTTGATGGAAAGGACTGCTCAAGACAACACAAGTTCTCTGGCACGTATGTTCCTCGCTACGTCATTGGTGGATTGCAGCACCAGATGTTAACGACATAACCATTATGTTTTTCTTGGCCTTGATCGCCGCATTACTTACGGAACCACAGGCTTTGAATGACATTATGACGTCGAGAATGCCAATGTGACCTTGAAATACTCTCCCACACCTTTGATGCCTCTAAGGTACGGAACCATTGGGTTTTAAGTCTTAAAAAGGGCATGGCCGTGAGCTGCTCTGAAGTCTTCGATACGGCCATTTCAGTTCAAGACTCCATACCAATATGGAATACTCCTTTTAAGTCCGTTATTTTCAGCATAAGAAAGAATTCTGCCCGGTTCTCACATCCTGCAGAGCATGTTTGTGCAGGGAAGACATCAGTCCACCATTCTGACTAACGTAACTGAGATTACGTCACGTCTGAAACATGTGATGCACTCTCCACAAAATTGGGTTTCCCGGGATGGGCTTCGTCGCCGGTCGCTCTGACAAATTCAGATTCCAGCCATTGGAACGCAATCGGGCATTTTGACTGCTCACATTGACGTACAGGTGAAAAACATCCGTCCAACCGTAAAATCCAGTAAAATATCCGTATAAATAAGTGCCGTCCAACCCAATGACTTCAGTGTTTCACCCGCGAATAATGTTGTACATGTTTTAACCACCCCGTAGCAAATCCCAAACACGGCAAACTGCGGAGCATGCCCCACTACAAACACTGGCTCTGGTGGCTTTATGACGTTTAGTCGGCGTTAAACATTGTTAGAAAAATACAAAGCTTATATACAGTGACGACGAACCTCGTACACAGTCTCTTTTTGATGTGCATGACCAGACATGAGGTCACTAACTGGCAGTTCAACGACTTCGCGGCTTGGGCAGCTATACATACTTGGACAAGATGATCATTGGTCCCAGGCACATTTGGCACATTCCTAATGCAATCACCCCGCAGCGAATCCAGACAGATCCAGTACACACCAAAAAAGCGTCTCTGTGCATGTAAAAAACGACTTTTCACTTCCCGGCTATCAAAACGACGAAGTAGCTAAATGATACACGGCCTGACGACATTATCTTATGAAAGGTGTAAACCGGACCCAAGTCGGTGGACACCCGCGCACAGGATAACTACTGGCTCTGGAAAACCGACAGCGAAGCCGGGCCATCAGAGCCCAACGGAGACGTGACCATCAGGCTACATCTGGTTACCTGCCGCGGCACACACAGCCAGTCTGAGACTCCTGAAGGCACTGGTCGCGCTGCGTGGCCGACCCAGCATGGGCGTCAAAGTAATGCGACGTTATCGGGTCACAGTGACGTCACAGCACCGTTGCATTACTCCGCCAACACCACGTCATCCCGACAGCGTGACGTCACCCCGCTGGGCGCCGTTACGCCTCCAGCGACTGACGGCTGGGCTTCACGTTCTTCGTGAACATGTAGACGCCGACGCGCACGCCGGCGAACATCGGCTTGTGGATGTAGTTGAGGATCTGGAAGCCGCGGTTGTAAAACAGACTCTTGGCGGCGTCGTTGCACTCCGTCGTCTGCAGGCGCACGTTGGACAGGCCGGCGTCGCCGCAGAACCGACAGGCCACGTCCAGCATCTTGGTGCCAATGCCGTGGCCACGATGCGACTTCGCCACCGACATGCGCTGCAGCCACGCGCCCTGTGGGTCGTCGCGATTCTTACGCACGCCGCACGTGCCGACGACGACGCGGCGCAGCCCTTTCAGGTCCGTCTGGTACTTCTCCACGTCCTGCGGCGACACGAACGTCAGCTGGAAGCGCGCCGCCGGCCCGGTGATGGGCTCGTACAGCTCCGCCACCCAGAAGTTGGTGCGCTTCAACGACTGGTACGTGTCGGGGATGTTGCTGACGTCGCTCTGCGAGGCGATGACCTTGATCTGATGCGCCGCCCAGATGGCCGCCAGCACGAACGCGAAGAAGGCGGGCACGGTCATCAGGCAGAGGTCGCCAGGCACGCCGAACACCACGAACAGCACCGCCTGCGCGGCGATCAGCAGCTCCCAGAACGTCTCGCGGAAGAGCGCCGCCGTGAAGAAGGACCACACCGTACTGAGCGCCGCATCCGACACGAGCGTCTTCACAGCCAGCGCATCGCGCGGCTCGAACGGTCGGACGCAGCACAGGTAGTTGGGCAGAGGAGCAGTGGTCTCGGCCATTGCAGCTGGCGGGGTGGCTGGTCAGAAGCAGAACCTGTAAATGGCTTTGGCTTTAGGAGTTGTTTGAGTTGTGAGGCTCTAAAACAAAATCATGCATGCATGTCAGGTGATCTGTTTCATGCACATTCCCCCTGATGAGTATTGGTGCCAAGCTTACCAGTTGCCATAGCTTGTGGTACAGTATTTGGTATTAGTATTACTTAGTAATATTTTATTATTACTTATTATTATTACAGTATTACAGTATTATTTTATTAGTATTATTTACTTCTTATTGCTTCTTATTATTTCTTATTATTTATTACTTTATAGTATTACTATATTATTATTAGTATTACTTCTCAGCATGGCCTTCCCACTCTTTACAGTAATATTCGGATGCAGAAGTGTCCCAAGCCCCTTGCCCCCACAAAATTGGCCGCTCAAATAATCATACAGTAGCTTAAGGACATGCTTCATCCCTGAAGGCATTTAAGCAAGCATCAGGTGTAATAAGATAACCTCACTTATATCTGTTGGTATACTTCTACATGATGAAAACTGCTTTCAACAAAACAATTTCTCTGTTTGGTAAATGAGCTCCTCAATGCCTTATTGCTGGATTATGTCATCACACTAGGCACCACATTGGCTGAGAGCCAATTAATGACCAATTTGTCTGGAAATCATGCTCACAAACATGAACAGCTCATTCAACAACTATATTTTTCTTGGTCTTGATTGTGGCACAACTAATGGAATGGCCATATTTTAATGATACTACTAGGGCATCATGGATACCTGGATGACCTTGAAATGGTACTCACAAAATAGTCTGCACATCTTTAAGGCATGTAGCTCAGAAACTAGAGCAGTGTAGGTCTTAAGAAGAGCAGGACTGTATGCCATACTGAATGATCTTCAAGATGGCTATTTCAGTCAGAACCCCAGTACAAATATCAACTACTCTCTTCAAGATATTGTGACTCTAAGACAAACACACAGCTCATCAACCACAAAGTCTCAAATATATTGTGCCCAATCGATTAAGGCCTTCAGGAAAAACTAAAAAAAAGATGAACCTTTCCATGTGTGACAACCAGAATACCCCAGAATAATAATATACCCAGAATACCCAGAATAAATATAGAATAACATTTAGTAGACAGTCTGGTTTGCTCAAAAGGAGCAAAACAGGGAAATAATGATTGCTGCCTATGGATACTAGGACACTCTTTAAGCTCAAGATCCTGTTTTGATGCCTAAGAGGACCATTATTTAGTCTTAGGAGCACAGAGACACTCTAAATTGCTAAAAAGCGCTCAGTATTTCAGTTCTGGGGAAATTTCTACCACATCAAAGGGAAGGGGGTGGAGGTGGCCCTTAACAGACTCGTTGGCCCTGCCATTGCTGGCAGCAAATAACATGACAGGTCATTTCCATAGGGATCAAGGCCATCAATGTATCACAATCAATGACATGCCCTACATCAACACAGTGATCTGTGAAATATAATTAACAAAATGCCAATTTATTTATGCATAACAAAAAGTGGTAGGAACAGTGCAAGAGTGAAATACCCTTAAGGTTATATTATTCACAACCAGTCCTTGACATTTGCCGCCACAATATTTTTCTAACGATACAAAATACCTAACCAACAGTATGAAAACGGGCCTCACCTTTCAAAGCGTGAACGATTCACGCAATTGGATCACCAAGATTAAAGCGCGTGAACGCCCCAACCTTCAGCACCACCACCACCACTCCAGACTACCACAAAGAACCCGCCCTGAACAGCTCGTAACGGACGCCAGACGTCACGTCGCAGAAGCGCGTCATTGAGCTAAGCTACGTGCTACCATATAATCGTTTTCCCCATGAGCACGTTCGACCGAGGGAAAAATACTCAACGACTTAACACGTCCGTCAAGTTGGCAACTGAATGTGAATGTAAATCTGAATGTGAATGTGGTGCCAACTTGACGGTCGTAATCTGAATATGAATGTGGTGCCAACTTGACGGACGTTTGGGACATGTTGGGTTTCCCTCCATAAAGAGCGTTATGGAAGGGATATGGGAGCGTGCTGTTTTTGATATCTATTGTGACGCAGAGCATTCATTTTCTGCGGTGCGCATCCATCGTGCGGTGGCGGTGCTCCGTGTCCGCAGTGGCGTTCTGTGCAAGTGTATTGTATGTCAATTGCGCCTGCCGCAGGTAGGGTATCTATGGTATTGGATTTTTTGCGGTTCGGTGTGTGAGATTCTTTACTGACAGCCACAGCCATGAGAGGGCTGCACATTTGTATTGGCTTAGAAAATTTGAACTTGGGGTCCCACGGCCAACACTGGTGGTTTTGTTAACCGCACCTTACCTCGCCTTACCCTACCTTATGGTGATAGATAATTATAGAAGTTCACTAACCCTGTCGGTCTCGGTCTTGTCGGGTCCCTGGTCTGGTGACCAAACAGTCTCAAGTTATGGATAGATTTTGTGTGGATTGTGGGATGTCATGCTTGATGCCAGCCCAGTGCATGTGAGGCCTGGACTTGAACTGTTCAACTGAGGTTGATGATATGACTGGGTGTGGAATGATGTTCTAATTGTTGATGACCCAGTGCTAAGTGAGTGATGACTGATGAGAGTTTGAGGTTTTCTTAGACCCATTGGTGGTCTCTTGTCACCTCTGAATTGTGTCTTGTCAGGAACTCCACTTCTGCCAACAACATGCATCTGTGACACAACTGATACACTGTCACCATGTCTCCCCTGCATTGACGGTAGCACAGGGAGGAGGAGGAAGAGTCAGGCCTCTTGGGGTATGGCTGGTGCCTCACTTCATTGACAAGACCCCTGGGTTATTGCTGAACCTGCTCCAACAGCTCCTGGTCAAATCTGCCCAATGGCTGAATCTGCCAAAGAGGCCTCAGATGACATTGCCATACTTCAAGCATGAGCATACTAAGACCTTGAAGAGCAGTGGCAGCATGTGAACATTGATGTTGGCAAACGACTGTCTCATGACCACCAGCATTGGTTTGGCTTTTGAGATCGCTTCAGCTGTCTGCATGTGAAATAAGGGCCTGTGATCCACGAAGATCCTGAGTTTCTCTTCGGTTAGCCCAATGTGATTTCTCTCCTGTTGAAGAAGTACACCAGTCTCAGGTTGCAGTTCCAGATATGCATTAGTTTGTACTTGGTTGCATTAAAGGGGAGCAGCCATTCCTTAGACCACTTGGCCAGGGTGTGGAGGCCAACCTGCAGAGGTGACTCAGCCGGGGACCTGGGGACACAAGAGTAGATCTTGGTGTCATCCGTGGACATCTTGACCATGCTTCACACTTGATCTAGTAGGTTGTTTGTGAAGGTTATGAATAGTGGTGGTCCTAGCACTGATCCTTGTAGGATGCTGCAAACAGTGTCGATCTAATCCAACCTCAAGATCTGGAGCTGCACTCTGCATCCGGTGGGTAAGGAAGTCCCTGATCCAGCCTGGCAAGGTACTTCTCATACCACAAGCATGGATTTAGGAGAGCAGACAGTTATGAGGCACAGAATCAAAGGCTTTGCTGAAGTCTGGGTATGGCATGTTCACCACCTCTCCAAGCTCTACTGGGGCACTCCAATCTGTCATAAGGTTTGATGGCTGGGTGATACAGGATCGTTTTGAGGGAACCCACGCTGGGCCGCTTGAAGAACACCAGGGTCCGAAAAGTGATGAACTAACACACCTCTCACAAAAGATTTGAGTGTCTTGGAGGGAATGGCAGTAAGACTTACTGGGTGGTAGCTCACTGGGGACTGTCAGTTACCTTTCTTGAAGACTGGGACTACCTCACCAGGCTCCCACTCCTGGGTAAACCTTCCAAATGCCAATTATTTTAGGAAAAACATGTTTAGGGGTAGTGCCAGGATATCTGCAGACTCACAAAGTGGCCTTTGGTGCACATCGTCTGGCCCAGGGGTGCTCAGGGTCTTGAGAAGAGTCAATTTCTTTGCCACTGCCTGGGCAGAGATGTTCATGTCATCCAGGAATGGTTCATTGAAGTCGCAAGGCATAACAGGCGGGACACTAGTTGATTCATCTATGAAACAGCTGACAAAAAATTTACTGAGCACATTGGCCTTTGTTTCATTGCTAGATAACACTCCATCATCGCCATGAAGCTCTTCTATCCTGAATCTTGTGCGTGGTCTTTACTGGGTGTGTATTTACGCCATGGCTGTCCCTTACTTTTCTTCAGCTGCGTCGCCCTTGGTTTCACGTACAGGCTCTTTGGTCTAGGCTGTTTCTTGATGGAGCAGACCTCAGAAGCCCTGGCGATTTTCTCCTTGAAGAACTTATAGGCATGTTTGACATTGAGGTTCTCCATCAGGGACCAGTCCATTAACCTGAGGATGTCTGCCAGGTGCTCGTAATTCATGTACGTCAGCTCGCGGAGACGAGGAGATTGCAGCCCAGAGTAGCAGACCAAGGTGTACCTCATCACCACATGGTCGTTGCTTCCAACCCCAGGCAGGTATTCAACTTTGCTGACCATTCCCTCCTTGTTTGTCAATATGAGGTCCAGAACAGTTGTAGCTTCACCCAGCCAGTGGCATGTGGACTGCTGGACATGCTGGAACAAAAAAAAACCCTGGAGGGTCTCCATCAGTGAGTGGGTTGGATGGCTCTCTGGAGCTGATGACGGCTCTGTTCCCTGGTCAATCTGAGGCAAGTTAAAATCGCCTACAATCATCAGGTGAGAAAACTGGCCTCTATACACTCCTTGAATAAGGTCTTTCAATTGACACACTGTCTTTGATGTTGCCTGATGGGCTTCTGTGTATGCAGCCAAGTATTAAGGTGTCCTTCCCACTTTAAGCCGTTTTCAGCCACACTCGCTCCAGGGTACTTGGCCTAGAGGAGTGTTTAGCTGCATTTGGTAGGTTAGACACATAGACACATATGCCTCTCTCACCGCTAGATGGTGCAATGGGAAGCTTCTGGGTTTGGGGAGGTCATTGGTCAAAAGCATGATATCTGGCTTGCTGTCAGAAATAAGCATACACAAGTCATCCATTTTACTGATGAACTGGTCTACATTGGTGTATGATACCTTCAGACCTTGCCTCCCCTGCACTGTGCAGCATTATGTAGGCCTTGTGGACCTAGGGAGCCAGGATCAGCCCGAGCATGAGTATAGTAATCCATGAATCCATCCTGAGTGCCTGAGGTTGTTGTGGGCCAGCAGTCCTGCTAGGGTCCCCGGAACCCCCAGGACCCTGAGAAGGGTGACCTATAATATCCTCACCAGCACGGTCCAATACATGGGGGCATCTCACTTGGGTGCCTCTTAAGTTCCCACTCAGGTTAGTCAGTGTTGGTCCTGGTGCAAGTGGGAGAATGATGCGGTGCCTCTGGGACCATCAATTGGACAGGCTGCTAGAGGTGTTGATGTTTCATCACTTTGGAGGATAGATGGAGCTGCCATTGGTACAGTAGGATGAACTACACTGGTACCTCTGGGCCTGTCAGGTACTTGTGTTGATGGGCACTCTGCCTGATGACCTTGTCCTGCCTGATCAGTAGGTCAAGCTCACTTGTCTCCCTTCTCCTAGGGTGTGTCTCTCAGTTTCTTATCCTTCTCCCTGTCTTTATGGGCTTTGTTGTGGGTCCTAACCATCTGACATTCAGATGATTTATGGCTGAGACTATCAGTTTGACCCTGGCCATGTGTGAAGTTCTATGCTCAGCTGTCTCCATGCCCTTGAACTAGGGATTCATCCAGCAATTTTGACAATATGTGTAAGACTGGAGAAATCAGTTGTATGTTGGGAGCAGCTTTTATCATTTTTCAGTGTTCAGCTCTCCCCTGCCCTCAACTGATTTTGTGAAACTGTCCCAACACCTGGCACATAAGGAAATGTATAAATATATATATGCATATATATATATATATATATTTATACATTTCCTTATGTATATATATATGTATATATATATACATATATATATATATATATATATATATATATATATATATATATATATATATTCATATGTATATAATAAATAATTTGATTTTGACAACAGAGATGAGTAACTTGTTTATTAGTGCATAATTGACATAAAAAATAAACTGAAATTGGGTGTCATATTATGGGTTTTATGATTTATATCTCCAGGCTATGTTGGTTTTTCAAACAGCATAGCTGTTTTTAAACTTAAATACATGATATATTCACAGATTTGACATTCTCGCTCAGTTTCTCTGTAGGGCAGGTGTTCCTTGTCTTAAATCGCCTTGACACATAACAAGCAGACCCCCAGGTGTTTTGTTGTTCTCTTTTGCACTTGAAAGTCATATGAGTGACCAGTTCATGTCCAAATTGGCATGTGGTCTGATATTGTGGTCCTGCTAATATGTTCCCATTTGTTTACTGTGTGATGTGTTACTGTTTTGTTTCAGTTGTGTGCCATTACAAGGATCAGTCTGAATCATGACGGCTGTACCAAACCCCAGCAGCACTCAGATACTTCCCTTGGGTGAGTTGGTTGCAGATGCAGACTTAAAAACAGGACTGTGGCCATCACATCATCCAGTGTCATTTTGTTGAGTAATGAGATGACAGTGACATATGCATGTTGAGGTCCAAATTTACGCTCTGTACAGTGCCAATGCTTTACACAAACATTGCACTAGAAATGTGCGATGTGCGTATTGATTGCAGGCTGATACTAGCTACCTTCAGCTAATATCTTTTTCTGTAGCTGGCGAATAATTCCTTGTGGGACTGCACCCACTAGCCAGGGATTCCACATAACAAGGTGACATAAAGTATGCAAAGCCATCCATTATGAGTGATGACTGATGTGATGCCACTGGTCAAAAGTTAATATTGAAACAAAAATTGCTATTTTTAATGGGTCAAATGGAGTCTGGGGGCATATTCTGGCACTGCAGTATTTGCACACCTTGTACCTTATCATTGTTAACCTGTGACCAGGTCGTGAGTAAACTGGTTGGGCCCTAGGTGTATAGATCAGACTTGCAGACAAGCTGTTTACCGGCACTCACCCTCATGGGCGGTTTAATATCCTTTGCTCGCATGGGGAGTCAATCTCACCCCCCCCCCCCCCCCCTCCTGAGGTCTCAGAAACCGAGAAAGCTAGACACTTAATTCACAGGGTATATTGGCCTGTATGTGAACTCACTTATGTCAAAATTTGATGTTCCTGGGTCATATCCTTCAGGTCAAATAAGGTCAAACAAGGTTGAACTCCAGATTGATGTCCAAAGTGCCCCCAGAACTTCTCATCAACCACCACAAACCTGGATGCATGTTCCAGTAATACATGATATATGATATGTGATATATGTAAGTAAGTAAGTAAGGATACATGATTCATGTAAGTAAAAGGTCACTGGTGCTCATTTAAGGGTGATGGCCTTGTTTGACCTTTGGAAAATTCTGTTGATCAAAAACATGCCAGACTGCTTTGATTCTTGCATTGGAATCACCATCAAGGCAGCATTAGGCAAAGCATTAGGCAGTATGCTCTTGAAAAAATGTTGACTGGTGTCATTTTAGGTCTGACTTATTCTGACCTTTGAGAAATCCACGGACTCTGTAAAATGTGTTTCCTGTTATCAACAAATTCAAAATAAGCACCAGAAGCTACCTTATACAGCAAGCTCCAGAGTGAATGAAAACAGGTTGGTTTTGGCCCTGGCCTGACCTTCATACCTGAACTTAGGTCAATTGAATTTTGTAATTCAATTTTTTGACACTTAGGGAGTCCATCACAGGGATGTGTGGCTTCATCTAACATCCCATAGTTGCATCAGATTGAACGATTCCCCAGACATTGTCTTTGCTGAATCCATGGCCTGACTAGCCCACCGTCGATCAGTGATCTTACAAGGTATATCTAAATATTTGATACCAAACGACCCGGCATTCGGTTGTCTACGGCTGTGCAAAATTTGGCGCGGCTATGCCAAGCCGTTCGGAAATCATTCGGGGAAAACCTTTGGAGCGGTCAAATAGCCCCCCCCCCCCCCACCCGAGCGTGTGTTAACATATTCAGGGATAGGAGCAGTTCTGCATGATGGCACGTTATCGTGGTTAGAGAAGGTTACAGAGGGTAGCAAACGCATCAAATTGCCGGCATCCTCTCCTGATGAGGTTCTCCACCTCCAGAGCTCGTGGACAAGTGCATTGGCTCCCGGCTACACATCATTATGAAGAACGACAAGGAGATCGTGGGCACACTGTGCGGCTTTGATGACTTTGTCAACATGGTGCTGGAGGACGTGACGGAGTACGAGAGCACGCCCGAGGGCCGGCGCATCACCAAGCTGGAGACCATCCTGCTCAATGGCAACAACATCACCATGGTGAGGGGGCCGCAGCTGAACGAGCACTGCCCTGGGTTGGATCTGCAGTTGTGGGAAAGGTCATGTCAAATACCTAGCAGGGAATGCACATCTCGGGGAACTTCTATTTACTGGGGTAGTTGCTTTCCAGCATCTTCCCAATCACCTTGGAGGTGGCATTTCCATGTGCTGTGGCTGTGGTGTGCTGAAGCTGCCTTGTAAATATGAAACTCGCTTTGGTGAATTGGGATTCATGTCTAGCCTAGTGTTCACTCACATCACAGTTAGTACTTTACAGCTTCCCCCAACGCTGGACCTCGGGTGGGCAGTGACGGGCATCATTTCTTTTCAGCTGGTGCCTGGTGGTGAGATGCCCGACAACTAAGAAACTCCTGGTGCGCTGGTGTATTATGTTGCATCGAGTCATGTGTGCACACCCATCTCATGTGTTGCAGCCGCCCATTTACGTAAATATATGTTGGTGAACAATAATTTTTCGGCCATGTGTTGAACTGCTCGCATCATTCTTCAGCGCCGGGTTTATGGGATTCCCCAATGGGCCGCTTCGTGTGCAGTATACCGTACAAATAACCACATGATCCGCGAGGCGTGACAAGGCTTTCGATATTGATGGATATATTTTGTATGCTTGTGACGATGAACGACAAAGGGTAACAACGAAATTGTAAAGGTGTGCGACAGACGACAACACAATTGTATAAACGAACAATCAACGAAAACGGTAAAATTGCAACAAATCAACGTGGAATATAGCGCAGACGCGTCACAGTCCGTCCGAGTCGGCGCAGTATGCAGGATTGCGTTAGCAGAACGCCGACGGCCAATGACCCGTATTGTCCAGTTGAAGCATCCAGCGCTCCAGCTCCGCCGCGTCCGGCCTGTTCTCCGCGTGCTGCGCCCAGCAGCGCTCTACCACCTCTCGCCATCTTCCGGCATTGGCGGGCACTTCGGGTTCAGGCCGCCGCCACCGAGCGACCACCACGTAAATGACGACGTCTGCCTCGAGGCTAGCGAACGGCCTGTAGCCGGTGAGCAGCTGCCACGTGCAGACGCCGAATGAGTAGATGTCGGCGCGGCAAGTGGCGCACTCGCCGCGGAACAGCTCGGGCGCCATGTACGGCACCGTGCCGCGCACCCCGCTCTGGGGAACGGATCAGGGCCGACCGATCACGTCAAAACGCAGTCTCCGTTTTTGCATGCCTTGATGGCAGAGTCCCACGCATATGGCGCAGAAAACCATCGGAATGCGTTAGATACAATCCGAAGAGAAAGCATTGAATACGAATGGCTCCGAACACAAGCTGACAATATTGGTCGAATAATCACCAAAACAAGGTCGGACATGTTCACGAGCGGCGGCTGTTGCTTGGGGAGCCCTCTGACATCACTCACCCCCCTGGCGTCGGGGTCGCCAACGCAGCGCGCGCTGCCGAAGTCTCCCAGCTTGATGTCGCCAGAGTCGGCCACGATGACGTTGGCCGGCTTGACGTCCAGGTGGATGACGCCCTCAGCGTGGCAGTAGGCCAGCGCTGAGACCAGCTGGCTGGCGTACCTGGGGCCGGGCGGCGCGGAGTGGCGTCAGGTGAACACGCGGAGACGCGCGGGCGGCGTCATTGGCGGCTAACGGAGCCGAAGCCGTGTCACTTTGCCATGCTTAAAGGAGTAGTTGAACAAAATATATTTGGTGGATAAACCGATCGATAACCGATCGGTAATGGCCAACCCGATCCTTAAAATAGACCCTTAAACCGGGCTTAACAAACTTCTTATCACCTTTTTTACCACCATCGTTTGAGTGGATGGGGAATGGAGCCCCTGACTGAATAGGATGCGTGCCTGATCATGAGCCAGATGAGCACGCACATGGCCCGCCTGATGCGCCCGATGGTGTGACATCTCGCACCAAGCGCTACAGCCTCGGCTGCCACTGAAACGGCAGCCGAGGCGGTCGGTGTGCCAGACCGACCCGTCATACTGACGGACCCTCCCACCAAGCGGCAGCGGCCCCTCCCAGCGGGCGGCAACGGCCCCCTTCCACCTGGCGGCGACGGACCGCTCCCAGCGGGCGGGCGTACCCATCCCACCGGGCGGCAGCGGACCTCTCCCACCGGGCGGCGGCGGACCTCTCCCACCGGGCGGCGGCGGACCTCTCCCACCGGGCGGCAGCGGATCTCTCCCACCGGGCGGCAGCGGACCTCTCCCACTGGGCGGCAGCGGAGCTCTCCCACCAGGCGGCGGCGGACCCCTCCCACCGGACAGCAGCGAACCTCTCCTACCGGGCGGCGGCGGACCCCCCCCCCCCCCCACCCCCCCGCCGGGTGGCGGCTGACCCAGCTTGCTGCGTGCGCGGCCCACCTGCCGACGGCGGCGGCCGGCAGAGGCGCGTCTCGGTCGTCCAGCAGCATCTGGAGCGTGAGGTCGCCGCAGTACTCCATCTCGACGGTGGAGAAGGCGGCGTTCAGGCCGTACACGCCGAGCACGGCCAGCACGTGCGGGTGGCGCAGCCGGCGCGCCAGCAGCTCGCCGGCAGAAGGCTGCCTACCGCGGAGCACCTTCACCGCCACTGCCCGGTCTGGCGGCCGAAGGGGCGTAGTCACGGCTACGGTGGTGTGCAGGAGCGAAACCATCGTCAGCACCGCGGCGCGACCTGGCGGGAACGCGAAAATAGGAAGCATGTGGGTGTCTGTTCTGCAGGACGGTGTGCAATTGTGTGTCGGTGGAGGCCAGCTCAAAATGTTTGCGTCGTGGCGTCGCAATGACCTTGCGACTATCGCTGCGTGATGTTGGAAATGACACCATTTCAACTTATTAAAAACAATAGGGGAAACCTTTTGCCCTCTAACCATCAAATAGCCAAAGTGATATAAACTCATGGCTGAACATACCGTTCGAAGTACCCTCACTACTTAGCGTCCATTCCAAACCCATGACCTGCCAGTGTAACAGACAAGGTCGCATGACTGGGTTACCTTTGCGCTTGCCGAGCACAACGGTGCCAAACGAACCGCGCCCGAGCACAGGAGCCTCGGGGTGTCCGTCCAAGCCATTCTCCTCAACCTCCCCTCTCTCTGGCGTGTCGAACTTGAGGCCCGGAGACGGCGGCAGGAGCTCGCCGGTCGGCCGGGCCGCGTCGGCGCTGGGCGGCGGCGGCGGCGGCGGCGGTGGGACGGCGTAGGTGACGCCGAGGGCGTCCCCCTGCGGCAGCGCTGGCGGCAGCTCCTCCGGTGGCGAGCCAGGGGTGACCAGCAGTCGAGGCTGCGCGAGCACCGGTCTGCGGATGGGGACAGCGGGCAGCGCGGCGGCGCGATGGGGGCGACATCTGTGCGCAGACATGTCCGTGAAGTCAGCAATTTATTCAGCGATTTTGACATTGCGCAGAGGGGCCTTACGACAGGTCGCTCGTCCTTACGGCTGTCGCCAGACCGCGTCGGATGTCTGCCTGCTGTCAAATTGGCTTGCATTGGCGCCTGGGACACCAGATGGCATACACTTAGAAAACAATGCCGATGTTTGGAAACGCTGGCGGCTGCTGCACAGCTTCGCTTGTAAGAAAACCGAAGACGAAAAGTACGCCCTTGAAATGCACATGCTACGATGATAAAATGTCTCCTGGTGCAGTTCTGCATTCTGGCTAGCTTACAGCTACCAGTATGCGTCCAAGTTGGATTCACATTGTCGAGGGAACGGAACTTGCTGTACTGCTTGTGATTATTTACTTTCAGTGGGTACGACAACCGGAGCGAATGGCTTGTGTGAATGCTGCAGAACTCATAGGGCGGTTGTTTTGAGACTTAATGCAACTGGTAATTGCATACAGCACACGGGACTCACATTGAATGATCCCAGAGGCAGCCTGGCGGGGCTGGATCGTGGGGAGCTGCAGGTGCCTGGCAATGGAATGTTGAGTCTCCGGTACGATCGATCCGGTTGGTGACTCACCGTCGCCGGGGCGGGTCGGCCCCCAGTCCGGAGCGGAACAGAAGCGCCGCCGGTGACACCGTCGACCCCCGGCGCTCCCGCCGGCCGGGGTCAGTGACCCCGAGGACGGGTGTCGCGCTTCCCGCCGACAACGGGGTCACCGGGGTCAGAGGCGGCACGTGAAGAGAGCTGCGCCGAACCGCGCAACCGGCCGCCCGGCAACAGGGCGACGCCGAGGTGCCGCCGGTCGGGGTCAGTGACCTCGACCGGCAGGTCATCTGCAGCAGGTGCCTGGCACGCGACATGACGTCGCCCGGGTGTCACGGCCGTCTCGGTGTCACTGTGCGAGGTTGTCACCAGTGTAAGAGGTCACATGGCACTGACCGCGGAAATCCACGAACGCGTTTGTTTGCCGTCTCTGATGGTGCACGACTGTAACGCTCGTGGAACACCACATCAGAACGTCCCGCTGCTATCACTGCGGCCCGGAAAGAACCGAACCTCTACCGCTGGCACCTGTGAGAAGAGTGAGGGAAAGTGAAGGAAAGTGAGGGAAACTCTCCACCTCACCCTGGGGCATGCAACACCCGTCCTTGACCCTGGGACCCAGGGGCGAGCCAAGCTCAAGTGGAAACGTAAGTCATTATTCGTGTCTGCTGGTGGTGCTTCCAGAGGCTGAATCTTCGACGCCCTGAGCGATGTAACCCGTTAATTTCAAACAGACGCAGTGTAAACATAGCGCCTGTCGCAAAAACACCGGCCTACGGCCCTCCTGCAGGAATGTGATCTCCGTCCGGGCTCCCCATGCGGAGGGCAGTGGCGACCCAATGCACCTCTTCGACCCTTTTTATCCTCGACGTCAACGGGATACCCACATTTAGCGCTGGGCTCCCTCGCCTGTCGCCGGTTACACGCTCCTCCCGCACACGGCTGCCTGGGCGCGCCTCTGCGCGCGGCCATGGTCAGCTGACTGCGCCGCGCCGGCCGCTGCTGCTGCCGCCCCTCCCCGCTGCCGGGACGCAGCCGCTCTGTGGGCACCCGGCGTCTGTGGCGTGGTGGGTGAGCGGTGGCGTGCAGGTAAGTAGAAGAGCAGACATCCTTGGGGTGAATTCGTGGCGCCGATATTGCCGAACTTTATTCGTGGTGTTGCTGTGCCAAGGACTGAAAATGCAAGCGGCTAGTTGTAAGTACATTATGTTTGTATTTACACCTATGAGAAGGTAAGGGGAAAGACGCAAATGGGACCTGTTTGTAAGCTCATGGACTTAACCTTGAAAACTGGAAGACTTCACGTGCTCAAAGATCGATCTTGGACCAGGATCTGTCTTTGCGGATACGTAAGATGAATGCAGCGGTATTCAAAGTCCGTCTTCCATCCCTTTAGCTGACGTGTGAGCATATGCCCGCCTGGCCCTTTGCATCGATGCGTTTTCACGTATGTGGGTTACCGGGTACCTACCCACCCGGTCTCGAGCGTGTTATTTCTTCAAATTGCTTACAGTCATGACATTCGGTTATCAAGCGAGGGTTGTATCGTTTTTGTCCTACATAGGCACAACAGATAGAGACTATAAAGACGCCAACATTGATCAGTCCACTTCACTTGCTCAAATGCGTCTCGGTCCTCTTTCCGTGGCCGTTCCGTTCCACGGCGGCGTTCCGTGGTGCCGACACATCCACATGGCCGATTAACTCATCGCTGCGTCGCCCTCCCCAGCCAGGCCCGCCTCAGCCATGGATCCCCGCACGGCCGGCCGCGTGCTGTCACCGCTGCTGCTGCCGCTGCTACTGCTGCTGCTGACCTCACCGGTCCACACTGAGTCCCCGGCCAAGTCTACCGGTGCAGCGACTCCAGCAGCGGACCCAGGAGCGGACCCGGCAGACCCAGCAGACCCGGTGGACCCGGTGGACCCAGCTCGCTGTCGGCTCTACGGTCCGGGTCTCCGACCCGACGAGGTGGTCCTGCCGGCGCGCTATTTCATCATACAGACCGTCGACAGCGGCGGCAGCGAGTGAGTGGCGACGGGCCGCACTGTCACCGCGAGGGTCACGCACGGGGTCACAGAGCCGGACTCCCGCACTGCTCTGGGCACGACTGAGGCTCCTGTCACGTCCACGGGCAGCTCACTGTCTCAGGCCCATACGGCCGCTGGAACGACGCTGAGGCGTCATCGAAGAGGCGTGGTCATCCACGGTATCAGGCTGCCAGCCGCCCTGGTGCCCTGCGCTGGACAGCGCCATCTGGTGTTTAAACAGCCTTCTTTCGCCTCCTTTTGGCGATCAGCACTGGTTTAGGCAAAGAACAATCCTTGTGGGACGCCAGTGCCGCCGTCCCTGCTGTTATTGTTGGGCTAGCCGGTATCGTACTCCCCGCACGACCCTCAAGTGACCGTAGTCCGTGGTCCTTAAAGAGGTAGTTCTGAGAAGTACTCTCTCTCTCGCTGAACTGGCTTCCGCGAATGAAAGCCATGTCTGTGGTGCTGGGCGGCTTTGGGCGCCCCGCTAACAATTTCTCCATTGAGTAGCTCTGGGTACCATGTGGTTGGTCTCATGTTCGCTGTGTGGCTCTAGGAACCACATGTCTACTGTGTAGCTGTGGGTACCCCGACTGCCCAATGTCCGCTGTTTAGCTCTGAGCATCCTGACGGTCCAGTGTCCACCGTGTAGCTCTGAGCATCCTGACGGTCCAATGTCCACTGTGTAGCTCTGAGCATCCTGACAGCCCAATGTCCACTGTGTAGCTCTGAGCATCCTGGCGGTCCAATGTCAGCCGTATATCTCTGAGCATCCTGATGGTCGAACGTCCGCTGTGTAGCTCTGAGCACCCTGCCAGTTAATGTCCGCTGTGTAGCTCTGAGCACCCTGGCGGCCCAATGTCCGCTGTATATCTTTGAGCATCCTGACGGTTCAATGTCCGCCGCGTCGTTCTGAGCATCCTGACAGTCCAATGTCCACTATGCGGCCCGGAACATCATGACAGTACAATGCCCGTTGTGTAGCCCGTAACATCTTGACGGTCCAATGTCTGTTGTGTGGCTCTGAACATCCTGACAGTCCAATGCTCACTGTGGAGCTCTGAGCATCCTGGCGGTGCCATATCCGTCGTGTGGCTCTGAGCATTCTGACAGTGCAGTGTCCGCTGTGCAGATCTGAGCATGCTGACAATCCAATGGCCGCTGTGTATCTCCGCGTACTTTGGTGTCCCCATCTCCGTCCCTTGCGCCTCTCCATACTCCAATGACCTCATGTCTTCATGGTGGGGAAGGGGGGGGGGGGTTACGTGACGCATCACGGAGGTACCATGCCGGCGCAATGCATCGGGACGTCCTCCTGTGCCCTGCTGAGTGGAGCACCAGCCTCACCCGACTGCGCCCTCTGCTCAGGCTGAGGACGTCACCGCGGGAGCAGTTCGAGGTGTCACTCACCGGCGAGTCGCCACGTGGCGCCTGCCACGTAAACATGCAGGTGCTGGACCGGCACGACGGCGCGCTGATCGTGCGCTACCGCGTGTTCGTCACGTGCCGCAACGCCGTGCTCCGGGTCCTCTATAGAGGGCAGCACGTGGCCGACAGCCCCTACAAAGTGCCAGGTGAGAAGGCGCGCGGCTGGAAATACCTGAGAGGTGCAGCTTGCTACGGCATGGAGCCGCAGAGCCGTGAGTTGAACTGTTTGACAGATATCACATTTTTGCCGTGTTCTGTCTCTCCCTGTATCACGTCCTTTTCTCGGACCTTTCCGCGCAGCTTCGAACGAAACCGATGTTGGAGCCGCGTATATTGAGTCTCCGCGGTGGTTGATACGCCGTTTGTGGGAAAAACATCACCAACGATGGGATTGAAGCTAACGTTGCTGATTTTGCAACCCCATGCTGCACATGTTCGTCAGCTGTCCAAAAAGCGACGTTGCGTGGTACACGTAAAGAATAGGGTATGCAGTGAGGCGTGTAGCATATTGGGTAGCGATATCCGGAGATAACATTTACGGCACCGCCTGGATCCAGCATGTCAGTCTAGGGAGCCCCTGACAAGAGCCTAAAATCGCGGCAACAGCCGCTCGTGCAGCCACCTCGGCAAGATATTGCACTTTCGCGTGCCTCACCGCACCGAGACGTCACGCCAGACGGCGTACGACGCCTGCCACCCGGCTCGGTCCTTGTCAAGGCAGGTACCGAAGCGTCGGCCTCTTGGTCGGCCTCTCTGGTGGAATGAGCTCAGGCTGCCTGCCGCTGCGCACTGAAGGAATGAACTCAGACTGCCTGCCGCGACACATCGAAGAGATGAGCCCAGGCTGTCACGCGGCACACCGAAGGAATCAGCCCAGACACAGCAAAGGAATGAGCTTATACTGCCTGCCGCGGCACACCAAAGGAATGAGCTCAGACTGTCGCCGTGACACACCAAAGGAATGAGCTCAGACTGTCGCCGCGGCGCACTGAAGGAATGGGCTCAGACTGCTTGCCGCGGCACACCGAAGGAATGACCTCAGTCTGTCACCGCGGTACATCGAAGGAATGAGCTCAGACTGTCGCCCAGCACAGCAAACGGATGCGCTCAGACTGCCTGCAGCGGCACACCGAAGGAGTGAGCTCAGACTGCCTGCTGCGGCAGACCGAAAGAATGAGCTAACTGTCGCCGCGACACACCGAAGGAATGAGCTCAGACTGTCGCCGCAGCATACCGAAGGAATTAACTCAGACTGCCTGCCGCGGCTCACCGAAGGAATGAGCTTAGACTGCTGGCTACGACCCACCGCACTCACCCCCGCGTGGTGCCGGAATAAGGCGTTGTATTTGGATTTTGACTCCAATTCTGCCGTAAAAGGGTGGACCCCAATGCGGAACCGATTCCGGCAGATGCGACATCTGAGGCCCGGCGCATCAATTCTCCGCGTCCCGGCAGATCCAATCTATGCGGCCCGGCAGATTCGATCTCTGCGATCTGGCAGATCCGATCTCTGCGGCCGGGCAGATCCAATCCCTCCGGCCGGGCAGATCCGATCTCTCCGGCCCGGCAGATCCGGTCTCCGCGACCCGGCAGGTCGGATCTCTGCCGCCCGGCAGATCCGATCTCTGCCGCCCGGCAGATCCGAACTCTGCGGCGCATTGTCGGGAAATTGACTTCCTGCTGGAAAGCGATGAATATGTTGTATAGAAATGCCACTCTACGCTTGATGTTCTCTCAAAGCTCACGACAGCTATGTATCAACGCGTCGCTATTTCCGTACTCGGTGTAAGAAAGGTACGCTGGAAGGGATTGGCTCGTGCTCTGCTCTACTAACGAGCAAGGTTTGTTGCTGCCACCACTTGCCGTTACACATACCCTGTAACTTCTACAAATGGCAGGCGAAACAGACCGGGGCTCAGAGAACCGGACGGTTGCGCATGTTTGTCGTACGGCACAAAATTGTTTTCCACCTCCTCTGCATTTCTTCCCTTTGTGTGGTGTTACTGTGCTTGGTCTGCAGAAACCTTCATGAAGGAAGGTTTTACTTGGCAGAACCTTGATGTTGTTGTGCTGGCTACTAGTGTGAAAGAGAACTTTCGTAAATGTCTTCTTGTTGCTGTTGTTTGTTGACGGTATATCATACACTTTCTGCTTTGTCGGACACTTAATCGTGGTTGCGCAAAGGTGTCCGCTAGTAATAAGACTGTTTCTTTTGCTTTTCTTACTTTCCCATTGGTTTACTCAATACGTTGTGCATTATTTGCGTACTAAGTTTATTATAGACTTACGAGAAGGCAGGCTTCTGACACCGTTCCGTTTGCAGTAAGCTGGCAGCACGCGAATATTTGCCAGATGGTTATATGTGTTGTCTACATTGTTTTCATTGCTGACTCTGGGCAATAGCCAAACAGTGCCTTCATTCCGAACCACCATCGCTCGAAGCCCATCGTGTGAAACCATCATTGGGGGTTCTGGGCAGTACTGGAACAGCGGTGCAATGGCTCACAGGTTAAGCGATTATAATTCCTCCTAGTTCCTCATACATTAGGATCCCCAAGGATCCTCCATTTGAAGGAATCGACCGCGCAAGGACGCTGTCGCAATAGTGTTGATTCTGTCTTAGTTTCCCGGCTGCCTTCGAAATCATCCACAACTTTGCCAAACTCCGCCAGGTCCTGGTGACAGTGCTTCACGGAACCTGTGAGGTCAGTCTCGCCCGGAGCTAGCTAGGGCGGATGCCGTTCTGCACCAGACTAGCATTTGAAATCGCCTTGCCTGGAGCTCGGCTTGTTTTGGTGCTTTGAAGGCAGGTCGAGGCAATTCATGCGGCTGCTCAGCGTTCAGGAGATGCATGTGAATGAGCCCGTTGGTCTGATGCACACCTGCTGTGGTTTCGGCGGCTGGCTCCGGCTCGCGGCACTGATAAGGATCACCGCTCTTTGTTCCGAGCACGTGTCTTGGCAAGCCAGCTGTGGGGTGTGCCTGATGGCAACCCTCTGCACATGCACTGTTGAGATCGGATGGCGCCAGTCTCGCCGCGTTCAAAGTGACGATGAAGCGGGCATTGCCGGGCCGTTATCTGTTAGCGAGAATGGTCCCGAGAACGTGGGAGACAGAGGACGACAAAGTTTCCACTTCAGTCTCGAACACGACAACTTGACAACTTTCTCGCGATGCTGGGTTTATATCAGCTGCATCAAGACAGCCTTAGGGAATTGCTACTTGTGTGTGCACTTCAAATTAATTGGGGCACTCACGTCTGTAAGTGTCATCCTGCTCAAATAAGAGGATCTGAACACGTTTTCAACTATTCTTGAGGACCCTGTCAGAGATAATGACTCGTGTCAGCGAAGACTTGGTTCAAATTTCATGCAACTTAAGGGATGGCAGCGGAACAAAAAGACGTTCTCATGTGATAAAGGCGTCGCTTTACATGGTCTGAATGCAGTCTGTATTCTCTTGGGAGCAGTGCCCAGGATACTCAAAGTACCAAACGAACTCAAAGATACTTAATGTACCAGTGCTCGGGGTCATGCTATATTAAAACGGACTCTCCCACGTCGAATTGCTTCCCATGGTAGCACCAGAAGCTGAACCGCCGGCCGCTGTGTCAGGGGAGCTGGTCAGCTATGAAGTGCGGTGACCGAGCACCGGCAGAGACTGCCATACGCCCCTCGCTCGGGCGACTAACACGTAGAAATGGCTTGCACATCACGTGCCCCATATCCAGGGGGCGGATACTTCATGTATCCGAGGGAGCGATGCGCTCCAACTAGGAAAAAGTTGCCGTTACGACGTTGGGTGGTGGTAAAGCGTGAATCTAAATGCGTTCCTTACCCCTGCCGCCAGCCCCGTTCAGTTCCGGTGGGCTCGAGCTCCCCTGCACGCACCGCCACGTGGTTGGAGCATTGCGCGATCTATACACCGCGCAAATCACGCCGTGTTTCAGTGTTGTCTTTGCATTTTAAATGGGCTTCATATCAGCCATGCATGCCACTGTACCTATTAGGTTGCATCCATTCCTCTGCTCAAACATGGCTAGCTACTGTATTTTGTGCGTGTGAATTGGGTCCTTGCTTTGCGTGACGTCGTACGTGCGAGACAGTTTCCAATGGCTTATGCCACTGATCTGGCGCGTAAAGGACGTTGTCTTTCGTGGCGGTCGTGAATTGTGGCAGTTCCCTTGCACACCAGTATTTGTTTTACATGCGCACTATTTCCTTCGCATTATTGCTGCCGCACTGGCCGCAACACCTGGTGGGTATTTTTTAACTGTGTAAATCAAGCAGCAGCATGTGGTTCGTAGCAGCACGGCACAATGCCGATGAATGAGGCGTGGAATACTGCGCGAAGTCAGGATGCTCATAGTAAAAAATCATCACGATGCAACGCTCTGCGATCATATGTTGTGCGCCGAGTTACGAGCTTTGTGAGTAATTGTGGTGTTTTATTATTCGTTTTCTGCCGCCACGCTATACTGGGGAGTATTTTCAGTAACATCGTTGCAAGTACATAAAACTTTTGTGTGTTTGAGGTTGACCTGATTTGTCACTGTGTATGCTGTAATGCGCTTGACGTTGTGTGTTTCTGTCTACATTTGTATGCCCATTATGTGGTTTTTCAGATTTGTTCTACGTTTTCATGCCAGTAATATCTTATGTTTACATTTGTCTGCGCCTGGCTTCGTGCGTTGTTTGCACTGTTGTGGGAGCTGTTGTACGTGCCTTCTTCAAGCTCACGTTTTAACAACATACGTTTTGAACAACGTACGGTTCCATGCACGCAGCCTTGCTTGGTGTGTGCGTGCGTGCATGCATGTATGTACACCTCCCCCTACTAATAAAACCTAATTAAAACTGTCAAGAACACGGGGTGAACGGATTCAAACACCGTACGTGATGTAACGAATACAGCTAAAGTTTCGGCGAGTTTTGTGACCGGGCACCGCGTAAGCTCAGTTAGACCCCGGGACCCAGCGTGCCATTCAGGTGACTGCGCCTGCCACGAGGCAGCCGCGTGTCAGCACGTGACCCGATTTCTCATAAAGCGGCAGCACTGATGCGCGAGTGCCCATGTTTGTCACGGGACGTGCGGTGGTCGCGGCCTGTCGATCGGGGCCGGGGTGTGTCGGCGACGCAGCGCCATCCCAGGAAACGTTCATTAGAGGCGGCCTGGGCGCGGACGAGACCGCTGTCGTTGTTTCGGTGCCGCCCGTCTGGTGACGTCGAGTCGGCGGCGTCCGTCCGGGATCACTGGGTCTGGTGCGATCACGCGCGGCGCGCGGCGGCACGCTCTGGGCGGCGCTGGGGTGATATATGATGTCCGGTGGGCTGGACTGCGGCGTTGGAGGATGTCTGGTGAGCGGGGGGAGGGGGGAGGGGGAGGGGGGGGGGGGGGGCTGTGACGTTGCGTGCTGTCTGGTGGCTGTGGACTTGTGTGACGTCTGGCGAGGAGGCCTGTGACGTGTGGTGTCTGGCGAGGAGGCCTGTGACGTTATGTGGTGTCTGGTGAGCAGGCCGTGCCTGTTTGTGACGGATGTCGCGGGCAAGTCCTGCGTGACGGTATGTGGCGTGTGTGACTGTGATGCATTTCGCCACCAGGTTTGGGATAATGGTATATGTGATGGCATGTGTCATCGCCATGAGTCGTCGCCAGGGTCGCTTTGGTCGTTCATGTTGTGTGGGACGGCATGTAACGTGAAACAGCATACAACGCGTCACAGCACACAACGAATGACGCCACCTGGAACCTGCGCGGCGGCGTGTGGCTTGCGTTGTCGCCAATGCCGCTGCGACGCTATGTGGCGCTTGTGATGATGTGTGACGTGCCACCGCCAGGTCGCTGTGATGTGATGTGACTGGTGTGCCAGTATGTGACTTGCAGGGCCGCCATGGCCTGTCGGGGTCAACGTAACGATATGTGACGCATGTCATGGTGCGTGGCACACTACCGTCAGGGCACCCGCCACAGCCGTAGCGTGCGCGTCACAATGTGACGCATGCCTTCGCCGGGGCATGCGACGGAATGTGCCGCTGGGTGTGTGTGCCGCGCACGTCACGGTGTGTGACCTGTGTGCCGCTGGGGCCGCATGGCAACGTGCCATGTGTGACGGCCTGTGACGCGCGTTTGGCCGCCAGGTCCCGTGTACGCCGAGGAGTGTGACTGTCCGCTGGAGTCGCTGGACGACTGGCTGACGGCGGCCGCCTGTCCGGCCAGCTATCGCCAAATCGACCGCGACCTGGAGAAGTACCTGACGGTTGACTTCGACGGCGTGCTCTCGGCCGCCACGCAGAGGTTCTCACATGCCGGCAGCCAGAGCTTCTGCAATTACGTCGTCAAGGATAATCAGGTGTGAAGACAGTCGAGTTTGGGCGACGAGTGGGGCTGTTTGTTGCCGTTCGACGGAGGCATTTGTTTGAGCGCGTATCGTGATTCTCGGAGCTGTTTTGACGGCCCTTAACCATTGAACGCCGTCCCCGGCATTACCATGCAAATGAGATGCGCTGCGAGCATACATTAACGTTGTGAGTGGTTAAGCTTCCCCCGTGTTGCGAATTTGCAGATCGCTGCAGAAGTAGTGTGTAAGCTTTTGCGAGGGTCTGAAGGGCCGCACCCCGGGTAACTCGTTAGGTATTACCTTACGCCGTGGCAAAGACACCTATCCATCGCCACCGGCCTGTGCGCTCAGAAACAGCCTCGACGCTCAGAAACGGCCGCTCCACCTTTCCCTGCTGCCCTCCACCGCGTGCCCTAACAACCACCACCCGCCCTCGCAGGTGTACCGGCGCTGCTACGGCAAGTACGTGGGCTTCAACATCTTCATGGACGCGATTTTGCTGTCGCTGGCGCGGAAGGCGCGCCTGCCGGACATGGAGCTGCTGGTGAACCTGGGCGACTGGCCCCTGGTGAAGAGTGCGGAGCCGCCTTCGCTGCCCATGTTCAGCTGGTGCGGCTCGACCGAGACGGACGACATTGTGATGCCAACTTACGAGCTGACCGAGGCTTCCGTCGAGTGCATGGGAAGGTGAGGGGACGGGGCGGAGCGAGGGGGTGGGGGTTGAACGTACCATTGCCGCACCACACGGCACCAGCATCGCGTGGAAGAAAAGGGTAGACACCGATCAGAGATCATGTTTCTTTGAAGGTTTGCCGAAGTTTTTCCCGGTGGCCGTGGGTGGCTTCCGTGGCGTTCCCAAATAACGAGAACGCACACCAGCGGAAAACGGTAGCACATAACACTCTGAAGGATCCCAAGTAACGGGAGTACACACTAGCGGAAAACGGTAGCACGTGACATTTGAGGAAGCTAGGTACCGCACCACCGGTTAGCCCCGTCGACTCTATCAAGAGGAACCGCGGTGATGTGTCTCGGTATTGTTGATCGAGGGGGGGGGGGGGGGGGTCGAGGCAGCTCTGTACTCAGATGCTGTTTCCGAGAAACGGAGCTCAGGTCTGCGCGGTAACACCAGCAGCCCAGCCGCAGGAGTTCGTGGGCGCTCATCGGCGCCGAAGCGCCGTCTGCAGCTAGGAGCGGCGGGGAGAGCAGCTCTCGGCGGCGCGGCTGACGCCAGTTACCATTTCTGCTGGTTTTGTTACACATGTTTAGGCCTGTAATGATGGTCTAGGAATGGTTTTAGGGCCTGATTCAGCAAAAAGGGGAAATTGTTTTGAATCGCACGGTGAGTTATGTCATCATCAAATCAATAGATCTGACCAATTGATTACTAGAGATGTGCCATATATCTCACGCAGGCAGTGTGATTGGATGGGATTTTCAGTAAAAACACCTCAAATGACGTGAGTTTTTTTCGTGCTACGTTCACTGCCTTTGTTCAGTGTTCAGCTCGTATTTTTGTGATAGAGAAACATGAGCCGCGTTTTATGCAACATTTTCCCTTGTAGTCCTAGCAAATGGCGGTGTGCGCCGCAGTTGCACACCCATCTTATCATTATAAATTTGTCCAAAATGTTGACAAACATGATTCTTTTGTTAGCATTAAGGTGCATTGTGCAATTGCCAAATCGGTAACAAATTGGGGCGTGGCCATCTTTTCCCCCGTGACATACGTTGAGTAATTTAAAATCACAGTGCGTCTGCATGACAAACGTCATGTCTTGCGCGTACCAACGATTTGGCCCTCTGTAAGCGATGTTTCCCGTTCTCTGTGTATCACGAGCAGACCTTTTTTGTTTTTGTTGCGCGCTGTGTGCGGGGGTTTTCATTGTGTGTGGAACTAGGGAGGACAACTTTTAGGTGGCGTAGGATAGTCTAGGGAGGTGAAGGCGAGAGTTGAGTGTGGGGCAAACTGAGAGTAAGAATTTTGAGCTAGGTCATGCAAATGTATTGTGTATAAATTCACAGCACCCCTTTCAGTTTTGGCAAATGTTTGAGTACACCGTGCTGTTTTTTCACTATGTGACGTCATCATTTCATTCCGCTTCGCCTCCGCTGAGAGCAATTTTTGTTTTTTCCGTTTATATTTCGGGAGACTGCACCACTTTCACGCCAAAAGCACCACAAAATCCGCAACTTTCCAAACTGGTTCCGCTCCCAGCATGGTTTACGGGCAATATTGGATAAAAGTCCAAACTGGATGTAAATTCCTTCCTATAACATCACAGTTGGCAGCAGATAGAGATGGAATGAGAGACGGCTGTGTCGTGTTTTACGACCCGCTGATCATGCGGACATGCCGCCCAAAAATGCCGGACATGCCGTCTTGAAAACGCACGGAAGATGTTCTGAAGGAACATGTCACGGAAGCTGCTCAGCCGTCTGGTGTAGGGTAGAGGCTTGGCTTACCTTACACAGGATACCAAGGGTAGGAAAGTGGCGCGATGAGAAACGACATAGGCGCATTACTGCAGCTTCAGAATCACCTTTACATAATATTGGTCTTCGCTTCGTCGTTCAGTTTCTGGGTACTGTGTGTTTCATGATAACAAAGTCTTCGCTTGTTTTCATAAATGTTTGCATTGACACATCAGTGGACGTATTTCCAGTGTCAATTACCTCGTTGCACATTTAAGCAAGATTTCGAGCTTTGGTGGATCCCTGGGCGTACGAGATAGCGCACACGGTAATTCATTAAGTTTGTTTGAGGTACTAGATTAAATGCTCTCATCGTATTCGTAGGTCGCCTGCCAGCTGTTCGCTTAATTACAGTTCATTGTAGTGTCCTGTTTAGCAGCCCAAGTTTCAGAGTGACCTAATTAGATCATGTTGCTGCTGGATCAGTACACATCCCCGCAAGGAACCCCGTTTGTCACCGCCCTGTTATTCGCCTTCGATTGGGGCCTCTGAGCTGGGGCCCTTCTCGCCCGGTGGTCGGAATGCGAGCGGCACCACGTGGCCTCTCCTTGGCCACCCATCGCTCTTCGATCGGCAGCGTGCGAGCAGGAGCCCCCAGCCTCAGTTCGGTGTAGCGTGCTGAGTGGGCGGAAAAGTTTGACTTTTTTAAACGAGGGTTATAAACAGCGGCTCCGCAGGAGTGAAAATCCTCCATCAAACTGTGGCGGTTATATTTCAAGCGTGATATTTCCCTCTCGTTAAAAGTTGCCCCAGTTCAGAGGTAGCACGGGTCTACTCCGGGACTGACAGAGCACACGGCGCTCTCCCGCCCGAGCCGCCGGCGGCTGAGCCCGCGATCTTCCCGCAACCTCCGCCCTCCGCCCGGCCGACGTCCGTGACCCCCTCGCGCCCTCTGACCGCCGCCCGGTCGACGTCCGTGACCCCCCCGCGACCTCTGACCGCCGCCCGGCCGACGTCCGTGACCCCCCGCGACCTCTGACCGCCGCCCGCCCCGCGCCCGTGACCCTCCCAGGACCTCTGACCGCCGCCCACCCGGCGTCCGTGACCGGACCGTGGCGGCCACTGTCGCCAGCCCGGTGCGAGCCCAATGAGGCCTATTGGCGGCGCCGCGGGCGGCAGCCGGTTGGCAGACCGGCGACGACGCACGTCCGCCGCCGCCGCGGCGCGTAGGCGCCCCGTGGCTTCTTTCCTTGCCGGTGACGTCATTGGAGCTGAGTGGCGCCGACGTCAGGTGCAGCCAGCCGGGGAGTCCCGTCTGAGGGCTCTTACCCTCCGGCGTCGAATCGAATGTCGCCACAGCCAGCGCGGCGCCCCCCCCCCCCCCCGAAGCTGTTAACGGCGGCTGAGGCGTACCTTGAAAAGGTGCCTTGGTACCTCAAGGTACCTTGAGACACTCTTTCCGGCGAGTTGAGTGCCAGAGTGATACGTTTAGAGAGTAAAAAAGATACAATCATGCGGCTTGCTGGAAATGACTATTACCGACCAGCGACTTGAGGTCTGTTAATGATGATACGTGCATTCTCACTGGTTTAAGTCTGTGAAAACACGTCGTGGAGACTCCAGAAGCAATGGGAAGGAGCCAGGGAGCTATATGGCTCAGTCAAAAAGCGTAAAACTTCGGTGAAGAAACCACATATAATGCCATTGAAAAAGACAATATCAGAGACGGGGCCTAACACCTTGTGCGGTGAGCTGATTTTGAAAAGGCGATTGCCCTCAGCTTGCATTGATCCCACGCATTCTACCACAACGCCCAGAAGGCTAATACCTTGACAACGCGCCAGACGCAGCGCAGGGAAATGCAGTAGCTGCACGCTATAGCCAGGCTCTGCGCTACCGGAGCGTGGCGTTAAGACGCTCAGAGTATGGTCTGAGTGTCACCGTGATGCGAACGAAGTGCGACGGGAATAAGGCACGACCGGAATGTGGCCGGAGAATAACTTAAGTGTGGTCGGAGCATTGGCGGAGTGCGGTCGGAATGTGGTGTACGTGCAGCTCGACTGTGACCGGAGTGTGAGCGGGGTACAGAGGCGCGGCCAGGATTTGCGGCAGAAGGCAGGGGTTACCATGATTTGCAACATTGTTTTTCTAGCGATTCCCAGCCCCTCAACAGTACCCACACATTGTGAACAGACCGATAGTCCCCACGCACGCTAATAGATACAGTGCTTGACATGTCGATCAGCTGTCGATGTTGGCTGGCCCTGGTGGCGTAAGCAATTGTCTCCACTGCGCCATTACGCGTTCACTCGGTTCTCCGCTGACCTTGTCACTGAGTTGCGACTGCTGGGCTCGATATGTCCTTGGTAGTCTAAGAGATTTAAATCTTAAATGGTTATCGTGATCACCAGATTACGGAGTTATCATCAGTAACGCTATGGTAAAAACTGTGCTCGAACCGGGGTGGAGAGGGGGAAGGGGGTGCTGAACTCTACGACTCCCTTCCCGCCTGGCTGCGCCGCTTCCTGGGTATGACCGCGAGTGTTTCAGTGTTGGGCCACTTGGATCAGTTTTTGTTTTTTGGATTGGAGCCCTTTCGACCAGAAATGGTCGCGTCAGGGCTATAGAATGAAGGAAAATGATAAACGGTGGGGCAGACTTGTATGCGCATGGGGGGGGGGGGGGGGGCAACCGCTAAGCTTTAACCCGCGATGCGCCCTGGGTAGCCAGTCGGGGTTCCCCTTCTCACGGGCGGGTTGTCACGAAGATGCGGGATGAAGCAAGATTAAAATAAGAGAGGCGGATGAGGCCACTTGGGAGGTAGGGAATAGGGATGTTAATATTTGTCTTTGGGGTTCACTGCCTGTTGTCCCTCCCCTTGCTCAAAATCGTCCAATCAGCGTCGGGGAGGGCGGCAGTCAATCTAGCGTCTAAGCGTCCCAGGCTTAACAAATGGGCCCGGCAGGTCAGATGTGTGGGTTTGGGGTCAAAGGGCAACGGATTAGCGCCAACGAATTGCCTGCGGGGGCCGTCTGAGAGCCAGAGCTCTGGTAGCATGAAGTTATATTTACACCCTGGACAACCTCCTGGGTGAATTTAGGAAAGCCAGTGACCGTAGCGTGACTGGCGTGTGACCCGGGAGCCGGGCCTGCCGCCGGAGCATGACATCAGCCGCCGCGTTTCAGGGTCACGCTGGACATGCTGTCTGTGCAAAGCCGCGAGCCGGTGCCCTGGCACCAGAAGCGGAACGCCAGCTTCTGGCGGGGTCGCGACTCGCGGCGCGAGCGACTGCGGCTGGTCGAGCTCGCGCGACAGCGGCCAGACCTCATCGACGCCGCGCTCACCCACTTCTTCTTCTTCAAGGCCGAGGAGAAGGAGTACGGCCCCACCCAGCCGCGCGTCTCGTTCTTCGAGTTCTTCCAGGTGAGGCCTCAGCTGCTGGCTGACGGGCGCCGCCGTGTCGCGGGGAGGGATGGCGCTGTCGAGCCTGTCTGCCGGCCACGGGGTGGGATGACTCGCGAGGTGAAGTCACCGTGAACGTGATGCAGCCTCACGGCGTCACGAGGCAAGCGACAGGATTTTTGGACCTGTGGCGTCTGACCAGAGCGGCATGTCGCTGGTGGGTCTCGCTGGCGTGATAGGTGTACTTTATCACCGATGAGATAGCAAGGCTCCGCGGTGACCAGTCCCTGGATCAACGAAATCTGAGGACGAAAAAGTGGGAGACTTGGTATCTGGCTGTTTGTGGTCATTCCTCGTTTCGGATATCTCGGGAGCTGCATACTTATTTGATACGTTGTTTGTGTTGCTCGAATGACAATTTGTAAGCCAACTGCAGCGGGCAAAAAAGCACGTCCTAGCACTGAGTCTAGTCATTTTGAGAGCTTTAGCCGTCGTGTCAAACTCAGGACAGCAATGACACCCTCGAGCTGAGAACGCCTCAACAGCATTGCACTTATTTCCTAGTGGGCATGGAATGGGCTCAGGAATCAATCAAATCTAAAAGCTCAAAGTTGGCCTATTTCCCTCTACTTAGGTAGTCGTAGCAGGAACTGAGTCGAGCTGCTGGAAATCTGTGGACCGCTTCGTATGGAAAAGTGAATGTATTTTTGCCTGCTGAAGATATTCCATTTGGTTCACATTCATGATAAGTAGCCTATGAACTATCCAACCTCCGACGAAACATGGTTGTACCCTCTGGTAACCTTCCAATACGGCTACTGAAGGGGTTTTGTGTAGGGCTGGCACTACCACGGACATATCTTCCCGCGATTGCTTAAAGAGGACAAGGTCACATCCTTTTCAAAGATGGAAACCATCACAACAGTTCCAAAGAAAGCAAACCTTGAATTCGCCGGAAGGCCTGCAGCCTCCGAGACTCATATCAACGTTTGGGAAAGTTTTCCAACAGTTCATTGTCCCTACGTTCTGGCGGAGACACAGCCGCAAACAGATGAGGCCAGTACGGGAATGGAAAAGGAGCTTCAACATCGGCCTGCTTGATCAGATTACGGCACTACTCCTTGGGATGAAAAAGCATGATCAATGCTGTTTGCAGTTTGCATGATTTCAAGAATAGTTTTGACCTCGTTCATCATGCAGCGGTAATACAGAATATGCTTAACATGTGACTTCGTTCTGACCATGCAAAGTAGATATTCTCATTTCTCCAGGATCGAAACCGGGGGGGGGGGGGGGGGGGTAAAGATACCGCATGAAATGACTAGCAGTTGCGTTTTGAAATAACTTGGTGGACCCGCAGGCTCCCTTAGTCTGGTTGCCTTCATAGCCATGACCAGTGGTGGCGCTGTTGAAACATCGTTTGAAATATGCGCAAGGTCTCTCTCACACGCGGTTACCAAGCATGTCCAGTCGACCGAGTAGGGGAGCGTAGCCAGCTGCGGGACCGGACTGATTAGGTCCGTGGATGGGTAGCTGCAGATATGATAACGCTTTATGCTGATAACTGTCAGACCACGCATTTTGTCACTATCAAGACACCATTGATGCTCCTGGCCGTAATCAGTGGGACCAGCTCACCAACCGCTGCCAGTTTTAACACGCGCCCGGGTGGCCGGTTGAATACCCGTCGCTCGTGTGGGGGTCGATTTGACTCCTGAGATCTCAAGAACCAAGATAGCTAGGCCAAAGCTCACGGGGTGAGTTTGCCTGCATGTGAACTCCCTTCGTTTTAACTTCGGGCTCCTGGGTCATGACCTTAGGGTCTCTTGAGGTTGAACAAGGTCAAACTCCAAATTGATTTCCAAAGTGCCCCCGGACCCCCTCGTGTAACCGCCCTGAACACAGACCCGTTTCAAACTCAAGGTCATTGGTGTTCAGGCGGCCAGAAACAGGGAGATTTCTCGTATTTTGACACTGAGATAGGCGTCAGGGATTACGTTGGGCGGAATGTTCCTGAAAACGGAATCTTGGCACGGATTTTTCAGGTCAGTGAGGTACTTTGACCTATAAGTTCATGGAACATGCCTGTTTTCACTGTCATGAATACATTTGAAATGAGCACCAGAAACCACTTCATAAAGGAAGGCTCGAGTAAAAAAGCAGGTTAGTTTTGGCCTCGGTATGGCCTTGATACCAGATCCTAGGTCAGCGGGATCTGTTTTGCTCCTAACTTTTATTGGTTTATTGCCTAAGAAGCTATTCCAGAAAGGTATTATTTTAGCACTCCGTTGTGGCATTAGATTAAACGATTCACAGAAATGGCCTTCGCCACGGCCTTACTTTGAACTGCCATAGGTCAGCGATGTTACAAGATACAACATTTTTCGTTTACCACAAGATCTGTTATTCCATTACTTACATTTTGCAAAGTTCGACGTGGTTACGCCACACCGTCTGAAAATGTTTGATACATATTTGGGGGGAGGGGGTAAATTGACCCCTTAGCGCGTATTAGACTTCTTGGATAGCAATGTCTAGTGAATGGTCTCGGCAAGCACATGTGAATGCAGTTGTGAAAAGCGATTCCAAGGCCTTATATGAATGCCGCGTTACGGACATATTCCGTCCATCTCAAGATGAAGTGATCAATATCGACACCTCGTATGTTCGACCTTTGCTTGAATACTTTGCGGCTGTTTTTCGTGCAGTGTTCATCACCCACCAAGCCAGACAAATGATGGTAGCACGAGCTAGCACGCATTCCTATTATGACAGTGATGTATTCCGCAAATCAAACACCTTGTTAGTTCCCTTACAATCTGAATAGATGGCGTTGTGAATGGCGCTGGCCGACACATGCAGCAGCTGCGGCTGTATGGCGCCATATGCCATCCAACCCGACAGGACGGGCAGGTGCCGCGGGGAATCGAAACCCGCACCTCCGATTACCAGACGCGGGACTCAACCACCGCGCTCCAGGCACCCGTAATAATTGTAACTCATATATCTGTGATAAGCCCATTAGGTTCGAATTCAGGGTTAAGGTAATATGACCGCGTATAGGACCGATGCATGAAATTAATTTCTTAATAGGTCTGCAACATTTTCAGCCCGGATCGGAGTGCGCTCAAAATACGCTGCGCTACTCGGAGTATCAGTTTGAATAAATCACTTGTGCTGCGGGTTAGAATGCTATGTGACGTGGCTTACTCATCTGTCCAGCACATGTGTGCTCCTGTCGCCAGAAAGAAACAGCACGTGGTTTCTAGCGTCTGCCCGGAGGGCTTGGGGGGGGGGAGGGGGCCTTAACGAATTGAGTTGAGCGTACACAAGAAGCAGGGAAATAATTCAATACTTACAACGCGGCTCGGCGCGCGTCATGTCACATTTGTTTATAGCGTGCTCGTGGAAGATGGAGTACGCCATGTGTTTTCAGAAAGGCCACCTTCCAAGTACCACTCACTTGAGGTAGTCTGTATGCATAGCCGCCTTTTCGCTGGAAAGCTGTACTCTGGACGCGGTCGTGACAACGATTGGGAGCAGGCCGGTGCATTGCGGCGCAGCGTAGCGCGCAGGGGCACGGCAGCGGCCGCGCGGCGCGAGTAGCTGGCTGAAAAACCGCCAGCTGAGACAGGAGCGCGCAGGCGCGAGAAGAAAATGTGTTGAAGAGTGTTGCGAAGTCTGGAAGTGATCTAACTGGAAGCCAGTTAACGTTTGTCATCGGGGTTGAGTCATATTATTTTGAGGTTTTAGGAACATTGGCCGATTATTTGGGCCGGTGATATGTTTGTACGTTTGTGCCGTGCCTTTGTGCGTTTGCGTTATAATTATTTTCGGCATTGCTTTTACATTCGGCGCGTTAAGGTTTGGCGACTCAAATGCGTTACGAGACCCACGTCCAAAGATGGTATGTGTGGAAAAATGTTCATGGGACTCCGCAGGCCCCATGATTGCTGCGACACTGCGCGTGCAACGATTATTCCTGAAATCAACGCCATGAGGTCTTTGGAAAGGCGTTGTCACCGGATATGTCTTACACACATCTCGTTCTACTGATCTCGGATGGTAAATGACAACCTGGCGTGAGATTAAGGTGCGCCAAATGCAGATCTACATTTGTGTCTTATTTTCACGGTAAAACGAATCGTCCAGACCATCACCGAAACCCAGACGTATTGTGAACGTAAGAGGGGTCTGGCAAGCTTCAGACAGTGTTTTTGTTTCTGCCCAGAACTGCGTTTACGGTAAAGCCGGTGATGTGCTGGTGCCTCGAACGATCCGAGCGAATCTGGGGACGATCGTGACGCCCAGGGATGATCAGTGTTCGCACATTGGCGTTTCAGTGCGTTCAAGATAGTCGGGGGTCATGGCCACTATCAAGGGGAGAATTTACAACTGAGGTTTTCTGGAGACGGAGGTCGAGATGCCTGGTGGATGGTGAAACCGCCATTTAAAGGCTTACAGGCATAATATTGATTAACACACGTGTGAGGTGTGTGGAAACTTTCTGGCGTCAGGCTTGGGTAGGTACAACCACCACAGCAATGACGTCCCCTCGCGCTCCAGTGCGTCTTATTTCTCGGGGTTAACTCTAAAACCTTGAATTGTAGCGCTGCACAAAGCTGTTGTGCGGGACGGTCCTGACCCGGGCGCATGCCCTCGGCAGCAGACGGGTCAGAGGGCTGGAGGGATTGATGGCCGGCTATTTCATTTGACGGTTTGGCAGTGAAGCCTGTCGGGAATCGAAGTGAGCGGAAGAGGCTGCCGTGATGTCGGTGCTGATTGCAAGTCACGCGAGAGGGTGGTAGTATACATCGCCTTTTGGCTTTGATTCGTGGAGATACGAAAAAACGAAGGAATCGGTAACGGCATTTGATTTGCTACGTTTAGTCCTAACCTTTTGACTGGATACATTTATGGGATCAGCGCCCACGCTAAGTGGTGCTTGTTGCGCGAACTCTGAAACCACCATCCGATGCGATGAGGGCTTAACGTGCTGCAAACGCCTGGGACTGCATGCC